GGACTTCGTAAGCAAATTGATAAAGAAGGTGACTGCAGTCATGAGAACTTTGCAAACCAACAACCCTAAACCCTAAACCCTTATCATCCTACTCACCTAGCCCCCCGGTGATTTCAGCAGCCTCGGAAACCGGACCTCCAAGCAACCTCCGTGAACCGTGAATCATGACTTAATGGATCAGGGAGGGTAGCAAAACCCATGCTAAGTAGGATGATGGTTATGGCCCAATGTCGGGGCCTCAATGACTAGAATAGGGTTGTGTTTTAACTTGTGGGGGAGAAGAAGAACTTGATCGACAACTTGATAGGGACTGTAAGGCAATACGATTCCTAGCTATTCCAACCCTACTCTCCTACGTCCAGCTTTCCTACTATCAGGGTTTAGGGTTAGGGTTTAGGGTTTAGGGTCTTTCACTCATCCGCCAAGACACGCACGGTGTTCATCCCAGCATCAATGAGGCCAGCCAGGACCTCGCCAAAACGACGCGGGGGGAATAATATAAGGGCCTCGATGATTAGAGTTTTGGGGCCCACTATACATAGTTATATAGTATTTGCAATTCTTTAAGCCCCCATAGTATTTCAGCACAACAGGGCGAGGGATGAACAATTGCAGAGCTTTGTGGGTGGGGCTTGGGTGCAAGAACTTCTCACCAAACTCAAACGCTAAAACCCCTAAACCCCCACCACCCTGCCCCCCCTTCAGCAGAAAACCACACACACACACATGCACACACACACACACACACCACACACACACACACACGTTCAGGGTTTGGGCTTCGAGCGAACCAAACGCCTAAAACCTAAACGTTGAACCGGAACCCCTTCAACGAACCCTAAAAGCCCCAAAACCCGCAAGAGGGCCCTTAAAGAAGTCCCTTAAGGGAACTCGCCAAAGGAGCCCTAAACCCCTCAACACAAAACCTGAAAGCCCCAAAAAGAGCAAGGATCCCTTCTAGAATAAATAGAACCCTTAAAAGAATCCTAACAAGCCCCACACTAAACGCTGACCCCTAAACCCTTAAGTGATTAAACTTCTACCACCCCCTGAAGCCCTAAAACCCTAAACCCTGAGACCCTTTAAAGGAATCCTAAAGGGCCCCAAAAGTGGTCGCCGCTTGCCTCGGGGTCCCATGACTTGGGGCCGATAGTGCAGATGATCTCCTGGAGACGGTTTAGGCTCTAGGGTTCCCTTTAAGGGTTCTATACGGTTCCTTCTGGCAAATCCCAAAAAACCAGCTAAGGTTTAGGGTTTAGGGTTTGGGATTTAGGGTTTAGGGTTCGCTTTAAAAGGCTCCTTCAAGGGTTCCTTTAAGGGCTCCTTTAAGGGTTCTTTAGTGTTCTCTTAAGGGTTCCTTGGAGTTCCTTTAAGGGCTCCTTCAAGGGTTCATTAAGATGATCTCCTGGAGGGGTTTGAGGGGCTTTGGGGGTTTAGGGAGTTAAGAAAGTTTCCCTTCAAGGGCTCCTTTTCAAGGCTTCTTTAGGATCTCCGGGAGGGGCGCTGAGGCTTTGAGAGGCTTTGAAGGGCTTTGAGGGGATTTGAAGGGTTTAGGGGTTTAGAGGTTCAAGGATTCAAGGTTTAGGGTTTAACTAGACCCCACTAATGCCCTTATTAACCAAGCACCCGGGGTGTCCTGGCGGGTTTAGGGTTTAGGGGTTCAGGAGATAAGAAGTTCAGGGCTGAAGAGTTTAGGGTTTAGGGTTTAGGGTTTAGGGTTTAGGGTTTAGGGACTTAGGGGTTTAGGGCTTAGAGGTTTAGGGTTTTAGGGTGTAGGGCTTTAGAGTTTAGAGGTTTAGGCGTTTGAGGTTCAGGGCTTAGGGGCTTAGGGGCTGCGGCTTAAGGGCTTAGGCTTAGGTAGGGCTTGGGCTTGAAGACTTCGAGCTTGGTGTCCTTGAGGTGTAGGGCCTAGCCTAGGGTTCAGGGTTTAGGGCTCGGGGTCCTTGAGGTTTAGGGCTCAGGGTGATGATTCTGGTTGGGCGTTCGAGGTTTAGGGTGAACGGTTCATGGGTCTTGAAAGTTTTTGTTGTTGGAAGGTCTTTGGTCTTTGGTCAGTTGACCTAGGTCTCTGAGCCCTAAACCCTAAACCCTAAACCCCTAAACCCTCCCCGAAGGTAAAACGGGCAGAAGGGATCTGCTCAGGTCTGGGTCTGTGCCCAGGTAGACTCGACTTGAGTACGAGCCAAGTAAGAGGCCTGCAAGAAGCTGCCGGTGCTCTGCGCAGTGGGCTTCTCCTTTTTCCACTTGCGCAGCGCTTTGGCACCCGGAGGCCAGCTGGGCACCAAGCTTTGCCACTGCCCGAGCCCACCGGCATGCACAACGCCGTCAAGCATCTGCCCGGAGCCGCCATAGAGCACGGCACTGTGATTGATTCATGATGGTGCGGCAGGATGCTGTGTAGCTGTTTCGCGTGAGTCTTCAGAAAGTTCAGCACGACGGTTGCGTGCTGCTTGAGATCCTTCTTCGATTTCTTGGCACAGTCCCACGAACACTTGGACAAGGACTCCATCAGTTTCTTGTCTTTCGAAACCCTAAACCCTAAACCCTAAACCCTAAACCCTAAACCCTAAACCCTAAACCCTAAACCTAAGTCTTCAGTTCCTGCGATCTCGACTCCGGCTTCGCGGAACGCGTTTGCTCTGAAGTCCTCGGACGTCCGTCGAAATCCTTGTCTTCCTCCGAAAACAAAAATCCTCTACCACGGAAGGCACGGTTTAGGGTTTAGGGTTCAGGGTTTAGGGTTTAGGGTTTAGGGCTCGGCACACCCTAAACCCTAAACCCCTAAACCTCTTCGAAATCAAAACGGGCAGAAGGGATCTGCTCAGGGAATGTGGCCGTTTCCGCCAGGGTTGGTTCTGTCGGAGGCCTCAAAAGGTGGGATAAAGGTGGGGTTCAGGGTTTAGGGTTTAGGGTTTAGGGTTTAGGGCTCGGCACACCCTAAACCCTAAACCCCTAAACCTCTTCGAAATCAAAACGGGCAGAAGGGATCTGCTCAGGGAATGTGGCCGTTTCCGCCAGGGTTGGTTCTGTCGGAGGCCTCAAAAGGTGGGATAAAGGTGGGGTTTAGGGTTTAGTATGAAACTAGAAGGAGCGGCATCGCTCTTTTGACATAGAGCAGACCAAGACTCGTGTGCCTTGAGCCAAACCCAAAGCATAGCAGCTGTACACTTCTCGATTTGTGCCTGATGGCACAACTACTTCTCTTTGGGCTTCACACTGGTTACAAAATGTCTCGAGTTTCTTGGAGGCTACGGCGGGGCTCCTTGCTGTACAGGGGGAGGTCGCTCAATATACCGTCGTAGCTCCATGATGTCGCCATCGTACTGGTAGTCATCGGTGTGGACGCTGTAGATGTCCAAGTGGGTGAAGGCGGTGTGGAGCGTGATATTGTTCTCGGGGGCGATGCGCTGGGCGTAGCAACATGGACGACTTCGTCATAGAGGATGCCTTGGTAGAGAAATGGGCATAGTGGCCGGTCGTACGGGAGATACTTCAGGATCTGGAGGATGATGTCGTAGAAGACCTGGATTTCCAAGGCATCCGGGAAGACCTGGTCGCAGAAGCCGTTGCGGAAGATGTAGCTGTGCAGGACACCGTTATAGAGCATCATACCGCAGAAGATGTGCTCGCAAAGCACTGTTGCTGAGAATATGGCCGTAGAGGTTGCTGTCACACAGGGCATACTCCGAGACTGCGTGGTAGTCGCGGACCTGGAAGCCGAAGGTACCGTTGCAAATCTGGATATATAGAGGGCAAAGTAGACGAGAAAGGACGCGGTTGTAGGGGACATTGCCATGGTTGCAGAAGCCGTTGCCGTATGGGCAGACTCCAAAATCGTAGGGCAATTCGTCGGGGTCGTGGTCGCGCAGTACGCAGTCGTACAGGATGTTGTCGTAGTGGTTATAGAAGAAATTAACATCACACAGTGGTGCCGCACAGGAAGTAACCGATAAGGATGTTGCTGTAGATAATGTCGTTGCAGAGGATGGCGTTGTAAATGGCGCTGCAGTTGTGGTAGATCTCGTCATAGACAATGTCGTTGTAGAGAGTGCTGTCGTGGAACATGTTGTCGTGGATGATCTCGCTTTGGATGTTGTGGTAGAAGTAGAAGGCGCACGGAGGATGCGGCTGTTGCAGAGGTGTGGTCAACAACGTTGCCGTGGAGGATGGGAGGTGCAGGATGCAGTTGTAGGAAATGTGAGTTCTGATTCAATGGCTGTAGTCGTACGGAGCGCTGTCATACACCATGTGGTCGATAAGGGATCTTGCCGTACAGGGTACTGATGGATGCGGCCGGTGGAGACGCTGATGTTGACCTTGTGGTCGTCGATGATGTTGACGTGGAAGCTGTGCTCGTTGAAGATGATGGTCCCGGTAGCCAATGATGCTGATGCAGAAGATGTCGTGGGCCTTCGAATATCATGATGCAGAAGATGTGGTAGCGGACGGTGTCGATGTTGAAGATGCCGTTGCCGAAGACGTTGACGTCGAGGATGGGGTAGTCGATGATGTAGATGTAGAGGTAGAAGCTGTGGTAGTCCCCGACGTTGATGTCCGAGAGGTGGTTGGCAAACATGCTGATGAAGAGGAAGTGGTAGTCGATGATGTGGATGTAGAAGATGTGGCCGTCAGCATGCTGATGTATAGAGGGTTTGATGATCGACGATGCTGATGTAGAAGGTGTGGTCGGCGAGCATGTTGATGAGGAGAAGATGGTAGTCGATGATGTGGGCGTAGAAGAAGTGGCCGTCGGCAACGGTGATGTAGAGAGTGTGGTAGTCGACGATGCTGATGTGGAAGGTGTGGTCGGCGAACATGTTGACATAGAGGACGTGATAGTCGACGATGTGGACGTAGAGGCAGTCGCCGTCAGAAATGCTAATGTAGACGGCGTGGTAGTCAACGATGCCCATGTAAAAGATGGGGTCCTCGAGCATTTTGATGTATAAGATAAGGTCTGCAATGATGTTGATGTCATCCAAAATAGTGATGCAGAGGCTGTGGTAGTCGACGAGGTTGATGTAGAAGATGGCGTCGGCGAACATGTTGATGTAGAGGATGTGGTAGTCGACGGCGTGGAGGTAGCAGGTGTGGTAGTCGGAGACGTTGACGTAGAGCATGTGGTACCCGACTTTACTGATGTAGAGGATGTGGTAGACGACGGTGTTGATGTACAGGATGTGGTAGTCGGCAACGATGTTGTAGAGCATGTGGCACTCGACGATGTTGATGTAGAGGATGTGGTAGACGACGTGTTGGTGTAGAGGATGTGGTAGTCGGCGACGATGTTGTAGAGCATGTGGCCCTCGACGATGTTGATGTAGAGGATGTGGTAGACGGCGCTGGTGATGTAGAGGATGTGGGGACTCGGCGACGATGATGTAGAGCACGTGGTACCCGACGATGTTGATGTAGAGGATGAGGTAGACGGCGGTATTGATGTAGAGGACATGGTGGTAGTCGGCGACGTTGATGTAAAGCATGTGGTACCCGACGATGTTGAAGTAGAGGATGTGGTAGGCAGCGGTGTTGATGTAAAGAATGTGGTAGTCGGCGGCGTTGATGTAGAGCATGTGGCAACCGACGATGTTGATGTAGAGGATGTAGTAGGTGGTGGTGTTGATGTAGAGCATGTGGCCATCGAGAATGTCAATGTAAAGGATGCGGAAGCTGACGATGTTGATGCAGAAGATGCCGTCGGCGAAGACGTTGATGTAGAGGACGTGGTAGTCGGTACGGATGTAGAAGGTGTCGTCGTCAGCGTTGTTGATGAAGAGGATGCTGTAATCGCGGATGTTGTTGTAAAAGAAGTGGTCGGCCAACTTGTTGATGCACAGGACGTGGACGTGGATGATGCAGAGGTGGTGGTCGCCAGCAATGTTGATGTAGAGGATGTTGTCGATGGGATACAACGTCGCAATAGCCTGGGGAAGAGCAGGACTGGACAGACGAAGCGAACATAGACAGCGATGAGCCAAAAGAAGATGTACACCGCCGCGCAGAGTCGGATGACGAAGACGTCAAAGGAGTGCGCGACGGCACCGAACAACAGGAAGATCTCCGCCGCAGCGCACAATCTGACGACGAAGATGGCAAAGCAATGCACGACGGCACTGAACAATCGGAAGGTCCCCGTCGCAGAGCACAATCTGACGACGAGGATGACAATGTGGCGGGCTGCTGCACAACACCACATGAAGCGCACGACGGCGCTGAACCAGTAGAACTCCACCTCATAGCACGGCTTAGAAGCGAAGAGGACGAACAAGGAGCATGACAACGAGGAACAAATTGACATGCGGCAGGAGGCTGGACATTGCTGAATCTACTGGAGCACACAGGCTCCGCTACCAATATGAAACTAGAAGGAGCGGCATCGCTCTTTTGACATAGAGCAGACCAAGACTCGTGTGCCTTGAGCCAAACCCAAAGCATAGCAGCTGTACACTTCTCGATTTGTGCCTGATGGCACAACTACTTCTCTTTGGGCTTCACATTTAGGGTTTAGGGCTAAGGGCAGGATTAAGGATCCCTCGTATAAGGACTCTCATTTGGGAATATCCCACCTACCTTCATCCCACCTTTTGAGGCCTCCGATTCTGAGAACGAAAGCAGACCCAAGGGGCACGTGCTCGCACCGCGGATAAGATCAGGATCATGACGCTGCACAAGCGGAAAGCCATAGCGATGAGAATAGCGGAAAGAAGAGTAGCATAAAGACGATGAATGTAATGGCACCAGTAGCTTGATCATACGGAAAACATTGCATAGAGCAACAAACAGAAGAACAAAAAAACTACAACGATAATGGTAAACACATTGGGACTTCCAGGACTCAAACCCTAAGCCCGAATCCACAAGCCGTGAACCTTTGACCGAGCCCGCTCCGTGCGCCGGGGGATCTTGATATCGTTGCGGCTTCCGATGGCTTCATATGCCTGGAGGGGCTGCGCCAGGGTTTGTGGCTCTGGGTTTTGAGTTTAGCGCCCGTTTAAGGCTTCAAGTTTAGCGGCCCTACACCCTAAACCCTGAACCCTAAACCCTAAACCCAAGACTGGTCGGTGCGTTTTTTTAAGTGGCCCAAACCCCAAAGCTCAAACGAACGCCAACATCCCGAAAAGCTCCGAAATGCTCAACCCAGGGTATAATTATATACGGTGCAATTGAATGGTATTCATTTTAGGAGAAGCAGTATTCTGATTGTTCTTATATCGTACTCTTTCACATATACCTCAATCCCTTTAAACTCTTAAAGAAGCCCCCTTAAAGGAGCCCTTTTCGGAACCCTAAACCCCTAAACCCTATCCAGAAATGGGAGTTAGGATTAGGGGGACCCTTGGGGATAAAGACCCTCTCAATAAGGTCCCTTTTCAGAGAGCCAGAAGTAGGGTTCAGAAGGGGTACCCTTTAAGGGGTCTCTCAAATAACACTACCCAGGAAAGCCCCGACTGCCCCTGCAAAAGGAACTCTTCTGGCGAGCCTTGGGGAACTTGAAGGGCTTCTGCTGGAAGACTTCGGTCTCGGAGTGGGGTTCTTTTTTGGAGGCTTACGGGTTTAGGGCTTAGGGCTTCAGGGGTCTAGGGTTTAGGGCTTTAGGGTTTGGGGCTTTGGGGTTCAGGGCTTTAGGGCTTTTAGGGATTAGGGTTTAGGGCTTTAGGGTTTAGGGTGGGGGTCTTGTCTAAAGTTCTAAGGGATCTGAGGGTACAGCATGGGTTCTATAAGAGATCGACCTTCCTTCCTCGGCGATCCCCTATATCTCCCTAGACAGGCTACTCGCATATGATATATGATTCTCAATATACTACTGATACTTATATACGAAACAGACAAGATAGATATACTCTATAATAGGACTACTATTAAGGTGCTTATATCTCTCTATATTACGAAGATTATCCAACTGTTACTGAGTGGGGGCCGTACTCAAGATGGAATATAGCATAAACCCTATATGGCTTCATGTTATTATGATTTAAGCTATATCCCTTAATTTAGGGGTATGGGCTCTCTGGGTTCCGAGTCGCTGCGAAGCTCCGCTGAGCGGGCGCTGCCGCGCGCGCCAGGCGCGCCGCGAGCGTGGTGATGCCTCAAGTCATCTCTTGGGGCTAAGGGTCCTTAAGGGATCCTACGGTGAACCCCATAAAGTTGGAAACCGGATCAAGGCCAAATAGTGCTGGGATTCCCTATACATTACTCTTAAGGATTGAGGCTATGGGGTTTCCAACTTTTGGGCTTCTACTTAAGGGTTCCTATAAGGGGTACTATAAGGGGTATATAAAGGTACTGTAAGGAGTTTTGGGTTTAGAGTTTATAGGGTTTAGGGATGTAGGTCTTAGGGTTTCGGGTTTCGGGGGGTTAGGGGTTTAGGGTTTAGGGGCTTCGAGCTTAAGGTTTAGGATTTCGGGATGAGGGCTCGACTGAGGTTCAGAATTCGAGTGAATGCTTGGGGCTTGGGGTTCAAACCGGTCCTCCCCTACTATGCTGCCATGAACTATACCCCCCTTAGAACCATAATAAAAATGATATTGTTAGTATTCTCTTGGGTTTATATGAACACAAATAGGGTGGTTGTCAAAATTGTGGTCCCTTTTGGGGTCCCTAATACAGTACGGCACCTACTATTTAGGATACCCAAAAGGGGACCCTAATTTTGACAACCATCCAAATAAAAGATAACTCCTAAGGAGAGAATAGCGAAGGGGCTTCCTGAACCTGCCGATGCCAACCCCAGGACCCGAAACACCGAAACCTGAACAGGGAACTGCCGGCCTGAATATGGCTTAGGGTTCAAGATTTAGGGTTTTTTTTTTTTTGGGGGGGGGGGGGGGGGTTAGGGTTTAGGGTTTAGGGTTTAGGGTTTCGGGTTTAGGGTTTAGGGTTTAGGCTTTAGGGTTTAGGGCTTAGGGCCTGAAACTCCTAAATCCTCCCCCTGAAGCCCGATATAGGGGAGGGGCCATAGCATGCCACAACAATGCACCGGGGGAGGCTGTCTTTTTGGGGGGGTTGGGGGTGGGTTGGGGGGGGTTGGGTTCGGGGGTGGGGGGTGTGGGGGTGGTTTGGGGGGTTGGGGGGGGGAGGGTCGTCCGGCCACAGAAACCGTCAGTAGTAACAACTAGAAGAGGGTTTGAAGGTATATCATGGCTTATTAAGAATACAGGAGCCCTCAGGTAACTCTTCCATGCACCCTCGACCCTTAAACTTAAACCAAGACTCTAAATCCCCGGCTGTCCTATGCTAACTGCCGGGAGGCTTGCAGCCTTCCTGCAAGCCGCCATTTCTCGGCACACTCCTACAGGGTAGGTGGTCTTTTTATTTGACAACGGTTCCTCTCAAGGGTGTTATCCTTTAAAGGGCTGCGCAGGACTTTTATAGGATGGTGGCAAAGGCTTGAAAGACAGAGAAAAGGGCCCAAAAAGTGGTTTTGATACTGCAGAGGTTTGTACATACCTTCAAGGTTTGGGGCTTGGGGCCCAGGGTAAGGCTTTGGTGTAGCAGGCTCCGTCTGTGCGGGGTTCAGAGCTCAGTGGAAATTCCCTAAACCCTAAACCCCCGAACTTCCAAACCCCTAAGGTAAAAGCCAGAAAGTTGGAATATCATTATCCTAACCCTTTAAGGTAAATTATAGGGGATCCTACCATGAAACCATATCCCAACTTTCTGGAGTTCCCTTTAAACCTTGAACCGGTTCGTTCTTCTTGGTTTGGCTTAGTGTTTAGGGTCCAAGCTTTGCGGGTTCGCCTCTGGTCAGGATTTAGGGTGAGGTCCCTCGGGGGCTTTGGGTTTGGGATTTTGGGGATTGGGGCTCAGCTTGGAGGGTCGGGGGACTTAGTAAGTAGGTAGTAAGTAGACTTATAAGCACCCTAAAAGGGACCCTAATTGGGGTTATGGTACTTATAAGTCCCTAAAATAGCCAGTTACTAAGTCCCCCAAACCCTAAACCCTTATAGAATCCCTTTAGATCCCTTTAAAAGGGGCCCTTAAGGAACCCCTTTACGGTTACTAAGTCCCCTAAAGACCCTCCAAGAGGGCTTCAGGGTTTTAGGGATTCCGGCTTCGGTTTTCCAACTTACGCCCTGGAGGGGCCTCGGGCTTCCTATGCCCGGATCTGTCCCAGCCTTTGGGGGCCGGGATGAACCCAGAGCCTCCAAAACCCCTTAATTAAGGAATATACCTAGGGTTCCTTTAAAAGGGGTCTAAAAGGGATCTATAGGGATTAGGGTTTCCGATACCCCTTAATTAAGGAATATACCTTAAATTATATTAGGGATCCATTTATACTTTAAGGTATATTTCTTAAGTGAAGGGGTTTTGGAGGCTCTGGGAGCTTATAGAAGGACTCTTATTGGACCTGTTTCTCATGAAAACGAATAGATGAGGAATCTGATTGTCGGCCCATGTTTTCATGGAAAAAACATGTAAGGGCTCTCATTTCGGGATTATATACCCCACCTACCCTCAATCCCGCTCTTCGAGCCCTTTGAAGACCGAAGCCCCGCCTCTCTGGTGCTTGGCGCAGCGCAATCTCGCTGTGGGGGGAAGCGGGGTTCCGAGCCGACACGCGAAAGAGAGCTTGCGGTGCAGATAGATGCCTGGAGTCTATAATCCTTGAGGTTTTGAGGTTTAGGAATTAGAGTTCAAGGTTTTAGGACTGCAGGGTTTCACAGTCTGGGGTTTGGATTTAAGGAGACTTAAACCCGAAACCCCCAAACCTGACCGCCCTAATCCTAAACCCTAAAGCCTAAACCCTAAACCCTTAAACCCTTAAACCCTAACCCCAAACCCCTAAACCCTGAACCCTAAACCCTGAACCCTGAACCCTAAGTCCTTTGCCCTTGCCGGCAGTTTGCGCTGGGACCTCGAGAGCCGAGCCGAGAGGGCGGATCTCTAAATTCGCATCCCTTTGGGGGGGGGGGGTCCTGTTTAACAAGGGTTTAGGGTTTGGGTTTAGGGTTTAGGGTTTGCGTTTAGGGTTTAGGGTTTGGGGTCTAGGGCAATACCCCCAACCTTTCAGAAACAAGCATTGTCTCTTACTGTGAAGAGCCGAAAACCCCAAAAAGCCCAGAACTTAAACACGGAAGCACAAAAACATAGACCCTAAACTTAGAAAACTGCCCATGAGTTTAGGACTCTCCTGTTTGTGTTCTGGCCGTGGGGGCCAGCATAATATACTGTAGGGGCCTTAATAATTGAAACAGGGTTTTGGAGCCCATTATACTATAACTATAATAGGGGACCCTAGGAATAATATTGGCAATTATTTAGGCCCCATTAGGCCCCCTATAGAAGAGACAAGCAGCACTCAAGAAGGCCTTCAAGCCACCGTGACATCAAACAAGCGCCCCAAACTCCCCCCCCAAACACTAAACCCCAAGCCCTATCCCTGGACCATTCCATGCCGTACCTTCGGCCTTTTTATTCTGGAGCTTCAGGTATGCAAAAACGATCATCAGTGCGGTGAGGCCCTCAAAGCCATGTAAATCTTGTGCAAAGGGAACCCACACCCAGAGTCTCAGGGCATCCGTAAGCTTGGAGGCCTCTGTAGCTTGGGATTTCAGTGTGCTTGGGTTGAGGGCGTAAGCGCCGTAACCCCAGGGCGCAACCCTACAACCCTACACCCTAAACCCCCAAACCCCCAACCCTGCAAAAATCCCCAACCCTAAACCCTGCACTTCAAAAAATCCCTAACCCTGAGCCTTAGAGCCTGCACCCTAAACTCCCCCAAACCGCCCGAGGAGGCCCTGAGGCCCACCAGGCACCTCCGAGACTCCAGGGCGTGCTGAAAAGCGTGCAAGTTCAAGTGGGCAGGAACTCTGCCCTCATAGGTTTGGGGTCTAGGGTTTACGGAATTCAGGGTTTAGGGGGCTTAGGGCTTTGGGTTTTGCTTGGGGGCCCGGCTCCTTCCCAGAAAAGCATCGGAAATCTCTGTAGGCCGAATCAGGTGGCGAGGTCCAGCCTGTCCACTAGGCGGAAAGATGGTTTGAGTGATCCACGTCCTGTGGCCTGGAGACGTGCGTTTCAGACGTACGTGATTTCCGGCTGAAGGACGCAAGAGGCCTGGGCTAAAACCGAAAAGCCCGACTGCAACAGGATCGGGCCAAGAGCACCCCCATTGAGAGTGTGCTTTATGTAGGAGCCTTAATAATCAGAATAGGGCTTTGGAGCCCTTTATACTATAATCATAATAAGGCACCCTAAGACTAATGTCGGCAGTTATTGAGTTATTAAGGCCCCTATATTAGAGCAGCTCCCAGCGACAGGGGCAACCCGGTCTCTTCATGGAGAGTAGAGGGGAGATGAGTTTCTCAGGGAGAAGAAGCCTGTCCAAGGACGCGGTGACCACATGCGCTTGAGAACGGCTGAGATCCCTCAGAACCCCTAAACCCCTAAACTGCCCTAAACCCCTAAACCCTAAACCCCTAAACCCGTAACCCGTAAACCCCTAAACCCCTAAACCCGAAAGAAGTTACCTCCTGCACCTCGAGGATGGCTGCGATGGCGGCAAGGGGCCGCCACATGACCTGAAACCTCGCGGGTCTCCGGGCCTTCTGTTCTCAAAGATTCCGACGTAGAGGACCACAGTTCTAGAGGACGTGGCGTTGAAAGGAGGAGCACTTGACCAAGCGATTCCTAGGGCGGAACGATGCCCGAAGCTAGAGCCCCACCCGGTGTGGGTGAGTGGATTTGCCTTGACTGGTCACCGAAGACCTAGAAGCTCTTTGCGTGAGGTTGGCCACTTTGGAGCTTGCAGTAGAGAGGCTTGTCGTCAGTCTGCTTCTTGAAACTCTCAACGAGACCGGTACTGTCAAGAGACTGTGAGCTTACTGCGGCCTCAAACAATCCAAGTGTGCAGCAGCTGCACGCGAGGCCTGCTGTAGGGCTCCGGCCCCCTGCAGAGCAGGGAAGTCCGATTCTGAGGCTTTCACTGTTCCGAAATGCCTGCGTTCTACAAACTTGTGCCGCGGGAAATCCGACAGTACATAAGCATCAGATGTTGCAACGAGATCTCCGGGAAAAGCATGCAAAAATACAGCAAGAAAGTCTTGGTCTGCTGAGGGACTTCCCTGGCAACAGTATCAGCGAAACGTATCCTTTAGACAACCGCATGTCTGACAACTTAAGCAGTCTTAATTCAAGGCTAGCTAAAGTTGTCAGCACAAGTGGGACTACGCGCCCGCATTAGACCCAAAGCTCATGAATTCACCGCAAAAGAAGTACAGCTCTGCATTTCAGGTATCCATGTTGACACCAGCTGCACTCAGAAGAAACCGACGTAAATGCAGTCTATGCACCAAGTCGACTAGCCGAAGAGGAGCCGGAGATTTCAAGGCTGCCACTGGCATATCACGTCTTGTGGAATGCATGCTTTTGACGCTGCAAATGCTGAGTACAGCATGCCCGCTGTTGTCACGCGCCATGCCCATGCCTCTTACTTCAGCCACTAGTACTAACAATCACTACTGCTATCCTTAAGGCTATGCCATCTTTACACAACCATGATAATGCTATCGTTGGGCATCTGCTTACCAACTTGAACGATTCTGGCTTACGATTTCAATCCTCCTTGTAGTCACTACCCATATTGACAACATACGTGTCAGTATGGGCTCTCAGATTCTGAGCGATATCCCTCGCCATACAGTCCTACTCCCGTCGTCATGGGAATGCAGCGGCTTGCCCCTATCACCAAAAGCGCTGCAGACTCGCCCAAGACCTCCCACCCCCCCCCCCCTTAAAAGGTTCCTCCCGAACCCTGGGGCGTCCTGTCCTGCAGCCCGCTGGCCCAAAGAAGGCAGCAACCCTCTTTGAGCTCAAAAGGCTGAGGCCATGAGCTCTGTCGGCCAAGGTGCAAACCTGGAAGGCACTGGGTCACAGCACACTTGGAATAGAGTGTCGTAGAGTCGTAGAGTAGCTCGATCTTCACTGCGATGTGGAGCACTCAGTGACCTGAACATAGCGCTAGATGCTGCAACCACATGCTGGCTATCAGCTAAGCTACTTGCAGGAAGAGTCACATGAAGCACCAAAGTAGATATGCTGGTGAACTCTGCAGCCTTGCTTCACACTTGACCCTGGAAAAGATGTGCTGAATAGATTTGAAGTTCATCCGGGTCCCTGAGCTGGACGAGGCAAAGCAGGTACAGAAAAAACGCACCCCCAACAGGATCAGAGCGTCCTGCCCAGAGACTCCAATACCCCTTAGTTATATAAGGAATACTCCTTAAATTATGGTAGGATCCTTTGTATGATTTAAGGTAATTATATTCCTTAATTAAGGGCAATTGGAGTCTCTGGGTGTCTATGCGCCTTATCTGTATAACCTGTACTACAACCCTTTATCCCTAAAACACTGTAGCGGCTAAGCTCATAGATTCATAGATGCTACGCCGCAAACCCACCAGTAGGCCACTTAACTTTAGTTGTTATTTAACCCTAAACCCTAAACCCTAAACCCTAAACCGCAAAAAAAGCTGCCAGGAACCTCAGGGAAGCCCCAAGAAACTAGTGGGAGCTGCTTCGGGATGACAGCTGGGAGGTGCTGAAACCAAGGTCTAAAGCAAGGGCATCAGCCCTAAACCGTAAGAAGGGGCTAGCTAAGCTTATAATAAGGAACTCTCCAACTATAGGTACTTATAAAGGCCCCTATATTATTGGAGCCTAAGGGTTGGAGTTCGAACTTGGGGGGGGAGACCCTGATTTGTAGAAGATGCCAGCTATGCCACTTCGGGAGGTACCCGTTTACGGTCACGAACCCGAACTGGGCGTCGCGAACCACAGCCCCCGAGAAGCCTTGTTCTGGGGTCGAAGGGTTTAGGGGTTTTAGGGTTTTAGGGTTTAGGGTTTAGGGTTTTAGGGTTTAGGGTTTAGGGTTTTAGGGTTTAGGGTTTAGGGTTTTAGGGTTTAGGTTTTAGGATTTAGGTTCAGCTGATTCGACAAGCTTAAGGCATACCTAAGTGCGCCTAGGAAGTTGCTGCGCCTGAAGCTTTATCTAAGCGTGGCGGCCCAAAGCTCGTCACCCAGAGCCTCCAAAACCCCTTAAATAAGGAATATACCCTAAATTATATTAGGGATCCTATTATACTTTAAGGTATATTCTTAATCAAGGGGTTTTGGAGGCTCTGGGCAGCACCCAAGCAAAGCTGGTAAGAGAGATTATCTGACAGTTTAGGGCTTAGTAACCTTGCTAGAGCCTCTCCGTGAAGTGCCCCGCCCGAATGGTTAAAAAAAGAAAGAAAGGAAAAAGTTGAGGTTCAGTGCAGTGAAGACTCAGTCGACCTCAAACTAGTGAGGTGATAGTCATAGTCACGTACATGACTTGGCGCCCCGCCCTCTTCGACTACCCGTAAGGTAAGGGAAGAAGGGTCCAAAGACCATGTCAGGACACTGTGCCTCAACATGATGCAACCGTGTCCCGGATGATCACGCATGGTTCCGCGTAGAGGCTTTATCGCACCTATGCCAGCCGGCCCTGTGTTGAATATCTCCCTATCCCAAGCAAGACCGAGCCATACCCTAGGCCATAGCATGTCGGACTAGTATTATTATTATTATTATATATTATTGCTCTATTAATATTAGTATTATTATATCATTATTATCATTATAATTACTACTATATTACGATTTCCAACCCAGAGCCGGCATTCCAAGCATACACCGAAGAAGGGCCCCAAGCGTGGCACTAAACCCAGAGTCACAAGTCGTCCATCGTGATGATCACCACAAAACTGCCGAGCCCTTCACCGACTCCTTCATTGCGATCACCTGCTCCCTGAATTCGTCCCCAAAGGTCCCGCTTTCCGTACTCTACACCTGGAGGGTCTGTTGGAAGACCACTACGCCCAAGTGAAGAGCGCCGTACTGCGTTTTCTGAGCTAGAGTGGGAGAGTCCCAGTTCAAGATCGGGTTGTGAAACTCCTCGGCGAACTTCCTCTCAGCCGCTGTCCTGCATGGGACCGCATGGAATTCAGGAATGAGATCCCCACAACTTCCCCTCTGCAGAACAGCTCATCCTTCTCTCTGACTTGGGAACGTTGCACAAACCTTCACATACTCGTGTCGGACTACTTGCTGTCCAGGTTTCCACCTCGATGCAACACTCACCAAATCAACAATGCAGCTCGCAAGTGACCGGTCCTAACATCAAGTGCATAAATTCTATTTACTGAGACTTGAAAGTGCGTAAGCGCAGGATTTATGGCCACAGTTCATACTGTGTCGCCTACCTACCAAATCCCCAACACAACTATGACTATGGGCCGTTTGAGCGGCCCGCTAAAACTTTCAGCGGTGGCTATCGAAACCACTCTCAGTAACAACCTATCAAACGACACCACTAGCCGGCACATATTAGCGGTCGGGAACCCATTTGTATCCCGTAGTCCCTAGCGAGATGAAGCCCGAATGCTGTCTCTGAAATAACAAACCTTACTTATCAGCATATTTAAGCAATGCCTCTTCAAGACTCCGTGTGCTTGGGACCTTCTCCATGCTGGGTTTCATTCGTTGACGTCTCTGTGGTTCACGTGGCATCCACTAAGCGCATCCACTTAGCGGATACTGAACAACTCCAACCTGCAATGGGGCAATTGGTGTTTCCGAAACTAGGTGAGGGGCAACAAGGGAAGGGGGGCTTTGAGAATATGGCGGATCTTACGTTGCTAGACCCCTATAATCCATGCTTTGGGCATAGGGGCTGGCCCCAACTCTGCTATTTTGTAGCTCGAAAAGTAGCATCTACTAAGCACGATGCGAGCCGCTATAGCTGCTAGCTGCGGTTGATGTCTTACGCGGAAATCTCCTAAAGAAATGCCGCTACTCTAGCAAATGCATGTTCGAGGAGGTAACCGTACTGAGGCTGTAATTTCCTAGCTTTGCACATACCAGTTGACACTTGGTGCGTTGGTACACTAGAGTTCCCTTTCGACACCCGTGTAGTAAAAGGACCCGTAGATGGAAACAATTTCGGGTCGACCCACCCAACCACACCCACGAGGCAAACAAAGGCAAGGTTGCTGCCTAGAAGCCGCAGTATTCATGTGCACCCAACCCTATACATTCAGTGGCAAAATTCTCGAAACATCAGCCGTTTTTGAACCCGAAGGAGAACTAACTAATGTAGGAACCTGATTAAGAAACCTTGGGCCTTTGTTAGCGTTCTTGATATGAATCCTCCTCTTTTGGGGTACCAGGCCGAGGGTTTCTTGATCAGGTTCCTACATTATCACAGGGCAGGATCCTACAAGAAAGATATCACACCTAGATCTGCAGGGTGTCCGTGTAGGGCTTAGGATACCGGTTCAGGGTTTAGGGTTCAGGGTTGGCTTAGGATACCTCTGCAACAACAACAACACGCCACTTTAGTTCAGGGCTAGCGGCTTAAGTTCCGTTGAAGTGCCTGTGCTGAACCATGAACCCCAGATGCACCCTTTCCAACTCGGACCCTCAACCCCTAAACCCAAAGCCCATAGTTTCAGAACAACCTGGCCAGGGTCTAGTTGGGGCCCTGGTCCAGGCCAGTGTTAGCCTATTTTTTGGGGCCTGGGAATCAAGACTTCACGAATTTAAGGCCTGTCTGACCGGGTCAGGGCTTGGGGTTTAGGCCTGCTCCCAATCCGTAAGTGAACCCTAATCCCCACACACAAGCTGTGACAAAGCCCTACGGACCTGACCGGGAATCCTAGAAATATTGCTTTCGTGACGATGGCTACTCGCTATGGCTTGTTGGTCCGAGCAGTACGGCCACTGCCTTTCGTTATATCACTGCAAATGCTATTGGCGCTATCGGTTTCTGCGACCGATACCACAAATCTTCTGCCACCATAACAAACTGAAACCCTTAACACCATCCTAAAGTCTAAAACGAGCCCTAACACCTTAAATCATAAAATCGCTAAGCAACTAAATCCAAACCGCAAACCCCGAAATCCAGAACCCCATGCCCCTTAAACAGGGGCCTTCGTCATTAGAATGGGCTTTTGGTGTACATTATACGACTCCTAATTTAAACACTAGGTTGCTGGGTTTCTTGGGGGTTGCTTCGACTTGAAGCCAAGCCGACAAGGCCTCATGGAGCCCGCTGTCGTTTCGGAGTCGGACCTTTAAGGTCTCTTTTGGACATGGGCAGCTCTCTACATCAGGGTTCATTTCCAGGCCCCCTATATAGGACGGAATCCTGATAATAATAATAATGATAATGATAATGATAATAATAATAATAATAGTAATAATAATAATATAATAGAAATAATAAGAATAATAATAATAATAATAATAATAATAATAATAACGATATAGTAACAATAATAATAATATTAATATAACAATAATATAAAACTATAGTAATAATATAATAATAATATAATCATAACATAATAACAATTATTATTATATAATAATAATAATAATAATAATAATAATAAAACAATAATAATAATAATAATAATAATAATAATAATAATAATAATAATAATAATAGTAATAGTAATAATAATATATTAATAATATATTAATAATATATTAATAATATACTAATTATGATATTATAATAATAATAATAGTTATATAATACTAATATAATACTAACAATAAAACAATAATCATAATAATATAACAATAATCATAATCATCATAATCATGCAAAAGAAGACACTAGTTTAGAGACCTACCCATGTAGGACTGGGGTTCAGAGCTTGGGGCTCAGAGCAATGGGTCCAGGATTCAAGGCTTAGGGTCTGGGGTTTAGGTTCAGGAGTTAGGGTTCACGGTTTAGATGTAGCTTAGGACTTGGCAGTCAAGGTTATAAACAAAACAACTGTAGCTTTACAAACATATAACTGGACTAGAATCCACCCCGAAGCCCTTATTCTAGATACTGAGGCCCTTGTAGTGTGGAGCAAAGCTGCGGCTTAAGGCTGAGAGTTCCGCGTTCAGGGCTCCAGGTCTCCCTAACCTCCGAAACCCTGAACCCCTGAACCGTGCAGCCAGCTCTAAAACCCTGAACGAGAAAGGCGCAGGGAGATGTTTTTCGTTTCGGCTTCGAGGGCTTAGGGCGTGGGGTCCAGGGCTTAGCATCTAGAACTAGACTTAAAGCTTATGGCTTAAATTCGAAGGTTAGGGCTTCGGGCTTAACAGTAGAAGCCAGAAAGTTGGAATATCATTATCGTAACCCCTTTAAGGTGAATTATAGGGGATCCTACCATTAATCCATACTCCAAGTTTCTGGAGTTCCCTTTAGGGTGTACGGTTTAGGGTTCAGGGATCCTGCCGCAAACTCGCCGATCGGTCTCTGAAAAAGGTCCCTCGCTCAGAACAGGCGACAAAAAGCAGGATCCAAAAAGTAGATCCCGTAATGGGGGTTCCTATAAAGTACCTTTAGTAGTATACGGCCCCAAATTTGGGGATCTACTTTCTAGATCCTCCCGGGGGTCTGGGTTGGTGTATAAGTTATGTAGGAGATGGTCAACATCAACACAAGGGTTTAGACTAGGAAGCAACGGTTCATAGACGGTACTAGAAAGCCATAGCAAAGTATCCACAACTGATACGTACCCGTGAATCCTGAACCCTGAAGACTGCACCAAACCAAACTTTGAACAACCCTAGGCAGTAGCTCAAAATAGCTGCAGCAGCAGCAATGCAATGTGGCCTGCGACAGGCTGCTGTTGCGGTCGTTTCCGCCTGCATGGAGTTGGGAACTGTGGTTTAAAGCTTAGCTAAACGCCTTTTTTGGAGATTTGAGATTTAGGGTGGCTGAAGGATCGGGTGATACTGTCCGCTTTAGCTGCGTAGTATGACAAGCCTTTAGTCACTTCTGGCGCGGATCATGACTTGTTTACTGATCCTCTGATTCTTCAAGTAAGAGCCTCCTCACATCCAATGCATGACTTTAAACCCTAAACCCTGAACCCCAAACAGTAATTCCGATGGTTCAAGGGCCGTTGCTGCTTGCAGGGGGGTTCAAGTGTGGGGGGGTCGACAAGTCTCCGGCTCCGAACTTAGGGCGACAGATACATCGGATTTGGGGCTGGTGGCGCAACCTAAATCCCTAAACCCCAAAACCTTAAAAGCTCGAGGCTAGCGCGACGCTCTACAGGTTGATTTTGGGCTTAGGGTTTAGGGGAGGTTAGGGCCGGACTTCCCGACTGGCAGCCTCAAGAATTCGCAGGTGCAGGGTAGGGTTCAGGGTGTAAGGCCTTCGAGCTTAGGGCTTAGAGCTAGATAGAAAGGGTGTCGCCCTGCTAAACCCTGAGCCTTGAACCCTAAGGCCTAGGGTTTAGGGTTCAGGGTTTAGCAGGGGGACACCCTTTCTATCTAGCTTCAGCAAAAAACCCTAAACCTTCAACCCTAGGGCCTTAAACCCTACACCCTAGGGCCCGAAACCCTACACCCTAGGGCCCGAAACCCTAAACCCTGGGGCCCGAAACCTAAACCCTAGGACCCTAAAGCCAGCACCCTGAACCCTAAGCTGCCTTGGATCATTGGCGACGTCTTGGTCGGCACGCGCCTTTGCCGAAAGGCGGACTTCGAAGGACGTTTGCAGAGGTTGGTCATGGTCTTGCTGTTTGCAAGTGCAATGACATAGTTAGTCACGGCGACGACAACAACAACAGCAGCACTTCGAAAACTGATCTGTTCGGACGTTGCGGTGAGAACATCATTTTTGCAATCAGCTTCAAACGAATAATTGGACTGGCGTTTGGGTATACTATAGCATGATTGTATTGGTACACCCTAAACCTTAGTTTAGGGTTTAGGGATTGTCCATGACAAGCCCAGTAACCCTCCTTGGCAACTTAAAAGCTGTGGGTACCCGCTCAGCAAGGCTTGCCTAACTACAAGGTTTACATAGAGTTCTGCACGGTGTATGTATGCATAAAAGGATAGGTAGATACATAGATAGATACGGCTCTTTCGAGTAAGCAAAGGACTCTCTACGGCTTATACAAGGCCCTGACGCAAAAACTAAACTACCAAGCCTCAAACTTCACAGCCGAAGGCTTGCAGACCAAAACTTGAGGTTCAGGGCTTATGATTGGCTGCAGCCACACAAGGACTGCAGTTTCAGAGGTTTAGGGCTTCGGTCTAGGGTGAGAAGCGTAGGGCTAAGACGTCATGGTCTGGTTTTGAGGGCTCTGGGGGTTGAATTGCGGAGCCTCTCGTTGATGTTGCCGCTGGCTCACCCCAAGCTCCTTGCGCCGGGTTGTCCGGTCGAGCGTTGAGCCTAGAAGGTTTGGGCTCACGGTCCAGGGCTTGAGGTCTAGGGCTCTCGGTTCGGCTTCAAAGGTGCCCGTGCGAGAACTTTAGACTTCAGACCGTGTCAGAACTTTTAGACTCCAGACCACTACATCTGAGCGGCATGGGAACTTCGGGAACCCCCAGAACTGAGAAACCCGGACTATTCAGCGCAAACTGGTGCTACGGACGTAGGGGTTTCTCAAGCACTTCCGTCTCATCGTGGGAACTGGTCCAGAACTTCTGACGTTGCACCATCCATGCACCGAGGGTGCGGAACCCTAAACCCGAAACCTACAAACCCCAGAGCCCCAAACCTCATGGAATCCCTGAACACGCAGGCCTATCAACTGTGCATGGCTGAGTTATTCTTTGCCCTATACCCTAAACCCCAAACCCTAAACCCTAAACCCTACACCCTAAACCCGGCGGGGGTTTTCTTTTTCCGAGGTGCGGCCAACCCTTTCTTTAAGGTTGGACACGCAGGATCCCTGTAGAGGGTTCATCGGGGACGTAAAGAATTTGCACCGCACCACAGCGCCAGCGCTTCGACGCACAGGATCCTTGTGGAGGGTTCATCGGAGTTTCCTTGGTGTCGTCGTGGTCGTCGTCCTGGTGGTTGTTGTTGTTGCTGCTGTTGCTGTGGCTGTTGCTGTTGCTGTTGTTGTTGATGATGATGTTGTTGTTGGTCGTGGTTGTTGTTGTTGCTGCTGCTGTTGCTGTTGCTGTTGTTGCTGTTGTTGTTGTTGTCGTTGGTTGCTGTTGTTGTGGTTGTGGTTGTGGTTGTGATTGTGTTTGTGGTTGACAGGGTGAGGGATCAAAAAACCTAATTAAGGATCACAAAAATTGAAGCACCAGGATCAAAAAAAATAAAATAAGGATCAAAAAAGATTAAGTCACGTAGAATACAGCAATTCCTGGGGCAGAGGCATCAAAAAAATTAAAATAATGATCAAAAAATTGAATCACTCAAAATACAGCAATTCTTGAATTTCCCAAGGGAAAACACTATTTTCCTATGGATTTTCTTCCCAGGGAAGACATGATTTTCCTACGGATTCCGTTGTATTTTCCAAGTTTTCCTTGGTTTTTCCTAGGAAAGACACCATTTCTCTATTAGCTATGGCGTTCATGTCATTTCTTCAGGTTTTCAGAAGGAAAACATACGTTATCTTTGGTTGTTCCTCGGGAAAATCAAATTTCCGTTACAATTTCGCATTTAGGACGGATTTCGTGTTGTAGCTGTTGCTGGTATTCCGCTTCATCACCTATCTTAAACACACCCCCTCATTTGGCGATTCTGGTTCATCGGGGGGGTTGGGGGGGGGCGCAGCCCCCCCCCCCATTTGCAGACACAACGCTCACATGATGGGCTTCGAAAACACTCTTTGAATCAAGCTTGCACGGCTCGAAAAGCGCGGCGGTGGGTCTTTCGTTCTTCCCTGACTGTTCGTGTCTCTTCTTCCGTTAGTACTCTATAACATAATATAACATAGTAAACCATAAGAACGACATAAGATGGTTCGACATCACAAAAATAGCGTGACATTTTCTGACATAACAGAACCTTGCTTCTTATAGCATCTAATAACATAACAAAAGACGAAAACACGATATAACAGAAGATAACATAGAACAAAACAACATCTTAGTTTATAGTGTAGTACATTGTAACATAGTACAATACAGTTTGTATATATACAACATAATTTTCAGTATATTATATAACATCAGGTTACATTATGCTAAATATTTTATGGTCCATTACGATATTATGGCATTTTCGATTGGACTATGTAGTATCCTATTGCTTGTATCTTTGTTTCTGTGATTCTTTCATGTTCTTTCTCTTTCGTATTTTCCAACTTTGCCTGTTTATTCTGGATTAATTTCTTTCTTTCGCTCGTTCATTTCTTTTATTTCGTTCTGGTGTTCTTTCTTTATTCATTTCATACTCCCTTCCTTCCTTTCTTTATTGCTTTCTTTCTTTTTCATTTGTTTCGTTCTTTTTCTCGTCCTTTCTTTCTTTCGTCCTGTCTGCCTTTCTTTCTTTCTTTTCAGATACAGCAATTCTTGAATTTTTCCAAGGGAGAACACTGTTTTCCTACGGATTCTCTTTCATTTCCTAAGGATTTGCTTGGGTTTTCCTAGGGAAGACATGATTCTCCTACGGATTCCGTTGTATTTTCCAAGTTTTCCTTGGTTTTTCCTAGGAAAGACACCATTTTTCTATTAGCTATGGCGTTCGTGTCATTTCTTCAAGTTTTCAGAAGGAAAACATACGTTATCTTTGGTTGTTCCTCGGGAAAATCAAATTTCCGTTACAATTTCGCATTTAGGACGGATTTCGTGTTGTAGCTGTTGCTGGTATTCCGCTTCATCACCTATCTTAAACACACCCCCTCATTTGGCAATTCTGGTTCATCGGGGGGGTTGGGAGCCCCCCCCCCCTTTGCAGACACAACGCTCACATGATGGGTTTCGAAAACACTCTTTGAATCAAGCTTGCACGGAGAGAAAAGCGCGGCGGTGGGTCTTTCGTTCTTCCGTGCCTGTTCGTGTCTCTTCTTCCGTTAGCACTCTATAACATAATATAACATAGTAAACCATAAGAACGACATAAGATGGTTCGACATCACAAAAATAGTGTGACATTTTCTGACATAACAGAACCTTGCTTCTTATAGCATCTAATAACATAATAAAAGACGACGATACAATATAACAGAAGATAACATAGAACAAAGCAACATCTTAGTTAATTTATGTCCTTTCGTCTTTTTTCTTTCTCCATTTTCGTTATTTCGTTATGTCTTTATTGTTTGTTTTTCTTTGTTTCTAACTCTCTTTCGTCCTTTCCTTGTGTTTTCTTTTTTCTTTCCTTACAACTTTCTTTATTTATCTATTTGTCTATTTTGATTGCTTTCTTTCCTTATAACTATGTTTTAATGTATTTCTTTCTTCTTGCTTTATTGCTTTCTTCCGCTCTTTCTTTGTTTCGCTCTTTCTTTATTTCTTTCTTTCTTTTTCTTTCTCTCTCTCTGTCGTTCTTTCTTTCCTTCTTTCTTTCTTTTTTGATCTCTCTCTCTCTCTCTGTCTTTCTTTCCTCCGTTAACCCCCCTCCTTTCGTGGATACCTGTTTAATTCTTTTTGATCCTTATTTAATTTCTTGTTGATCCTTGTTTTATTTTTTTGATCCTTATTTAATTTGTTTTTAATCCCTATCCCGTGGTTGTGGTTGTGGTTGTGGCAGAGGACTAGGGGACCACATGCACCAGGGGACCAGGAGACCACGGGACCAGAGGACCAGCAGACCAGAGGACCAGGGGACCACAGGACCATGGACCAGAGAACTAGGGGACCGCGAGCAGAGGACCAGGGGACCACAAGACCAAGCACCAGAGGACTAGGAGACCGCATGCACCAGGGACCCTTGGCCGCACCTCGCAAACAAGGGTTGGCCGCACCTTGGAAAAAAAAACCATGGCCCCCCTGAACCCCAAACCCTAAACCCTACACCGCCTATACCCTGGCAACCGGGGGATCTACGAGAGCTCCTTGAAGTGCGCGGTTGCTGGCGGCATCTTCAATTCTCCGGGCTGGCAACTGCCCAGGTCCTCAGCTTACTTCCCCTTAGGCTTGTTTTTGTTTTTTTTGAGGGCCCTTTTCCTTCTTGCTACAGTCGGAATACCTAGTAGGTAAAGCCCTTAGGCTTGATGGTTTAGGGTTTAGGGGTGAGCGCAGTAGGGCTTAAGGGTTGAGGGATTAGGGTTTCAGGTTTCGGCGGGGGCTTAGGGCTTGCTGCACGGGGTCTGTTCCACTAGAGGTATATAGAAGATATCTTAAGGAATAGGGTTTAGGGCTGGAGGCCTTAAGCAGGTTTTGTGTTTCGGGCTCTGCTAGCCCTAGTTTTTGTTGGTCTCGGGGAGTGGGAATTGCGGGTTTTAGTTTGGGCTTTCGGCTAGGCTTCGGCCCAAACGAACTTAAGCGGCTTCGAGACCCGAATCCCAAACGAAGAGACCCCTAAAAATCGAAACCCGAATGCCAGAATCAGGGTTCAGAGGTTTGGGGTTTGGGGTTTCGGGCTTCGGATGCACGCCGACGGAGATAGAGGGTTCAGTTTACCTCGACCCCCCAAAATACGTAAAATAATGGCCCAATACCTATGAAAGGTTATTATTCTACATACTGTTGCGGTCCAGGTAGGCGTTCTGTTTGACAGTTGGCCGTCTGACCAGAAGGATGACGATAGTGGCGATGGCGAGCGATCGAGAAGCGATGGATATGGGAGTTACCGAAAATTAGGGGTACCTTCTTAATATTATATTATATTGGGGTCCCTATAACAAGGATCCTACTATTTAGGGTGCTAGAAAGGGTCCCCCATTTTCGGAAACTCCCATATGGATGATGAAAAAGAAAGGCAGAAGATGATGATCATAATGGTGCTGGTGATTGCGATGACGAGGATGATGATGGTGATGACCCGGATGATCAGCCTCGGTACGAAGCAACGGCGACAACAAATGCAAACAAGCAACCGCAGTCCAGAATTGGTGGTTCGCCAATGCGGCCTCGGAAGGTCTGCGCCAGCTCGCGGGCCCCGCCCAAAATAGTACGGTACTACTCCTCCCTCAGCCGCTGCTTATCCACATCATTGAGACCGTTTTATGGCTGTGTCTGCCACCCTGCACCCTGACTGAGGTGCTGCTAAACGCACATTGAGAGACGCATAAGAAGTGAGTGCTCCTGTCGATGCACCATCCATGATTCGCCGATACATGCTACAGTCCCTCCGTGCAAGCACTAACCAAGCAGCACATCTGATTATCTGCCTGCCTGCCTGCCTGCCTGCATAAACGTATGGGAGTTTCCGAAAAGAGGGGACCCTAATATAGCACCGTAAACAGTAGGATCCTGATTATAAGGACCCCCAAAAAAGGTACCCCTAGTTTTCGGAAATTCCCGTATGCATGCATACGGATGTACCATGCTTCAGACTTGCGGCAGCTGTGGCTGAGGGCATCAGCTCCAAAGCTACAGCTCAAACACACCGTCGCCGGAGCCTTCCTAAACCCTAAAGGGTTTAGGGTTTAGGGTGCTTAGAGCTTGGGGCTTAGGGTTTCGAGCCGGACAATCGTTCTGCAGCACGCGCGGCTGCATCGATTCGTCTGGCAGGATCCAAGCAGATCGTCTCCTGCAGCCAGATGCTGGGCTCAAAGTCTATAGTGCTGAAAGCTTTCGCAACCCTAACCCCGAACCCCTAAACCCCAAACCCCTAAACCCTAAACCCCAAACCCCTAAACCCCAAACCCCAAATCCCAAACCCTAGACCCTTAACCCGACACAATGGGGAGGGATTGAGGTCACAATCCTGAATCCCGAAACTGGCGCCTGGACCTCCAAAGTCCTTACCGAAACACCCCAAATAACCATAAGCCCTAAACCCTTAAGGGTTTAGGATAGGGTTTAGGGTTTTGGGTTTAGGATTTAAAGTTTAGGGTTCAACCCTAAACCCAAAACTCCTGAACCCGATCTGCACCCCAACGTATGAAATACCCACCCCGTCAAACCGCCAAGGCCTAAGTCCGCAAAACGGCCCCACCTTGAGAAGCTGGCCCGCTTGAGGACAGCGGCGCTTCGCTCCTTGCACCCTGGCACACGAAGGCACTGATTGAGCCGTTTAGGGTTCCCAGAGACTCCAATACACCTTAATTAAGGAATATACGTTCAACTATAATAGGCATCCTACTATAATTTAAGGTGTATGCCTTAATTAAGGGATATTGGAGTCTCTGGGTTCAGAGGGGCGAAGATTCAAGGCGTCCGGGCTTTAGGTTTGCTAACGTTTAGGTGTGGGGTTCAGAGGCTCAGGGTTTTGTTTTTGATGCCTTTTGCCGTCAACGCTAATTTAATAACAAACCCGAAAATAGCATAGAAAATTATTAAGGCCCTCATACTATAGGAACCTGATTAAGAAACCTTGGGCCTTTATCAGGGCTCCTTATATGAATCTTACTGTTTTGAAATTATAGCCCCATGTTTTCTCAATCAGGTTCCTACATTACTACAGTTTCAGGAACAAAAAAGCCCAAAGACTCGAGGATCCCAAAAAAAAGGACTCGTAACATCCCAGAGACTCCAATATCCCTTAATTAAGGAATATTCCTTAAATTATAGTAAAATCCCTTTTATGATTTACGGAATATTCCTTATTAAGGGATATTGGGCTCTCTGGGATTGGGACCCCGCCCATTGCAACCCTCAAAGCCCTGATCTTCAAAACTCTTATGACACCTGGTGGCGTTTCAGGTTTTGGGGACTAGAGCGGTTAGGGTTTAGGGTTGTGAGAGTTTAGGATTCCGGTGCAATTAGAGCTTGTGGCTTCGCACAACTTGGAGATTCATGGATAAGTATATGTGGGGTTATAAGTAGGGTAGCTATAAGTATAACTCCTATAAGGGAACTTCTAACCCGACTGATAATTACCCATGAACCTCCAAGTAGGCACCGAGCATGCAGAGTCCCCAGAGAGCCCAATACCCCCTAATTAAGGAATATAGCTTAAATCGTAATATGAAGCCCAATGATTTTAGCAAAATTCCTTAATTAAGGGGTATTGGGCTCTCTGGGTCGGGCTCTGCACCTCTACAGCTTGGCCTTCCACTGTTTAGGGTTTAGGGATTTAGGGATTTAGGGTTTAGGGTTTAAGTTAGGGATTTAGGGTTTAGGGTGTCCCAAGGAGACTGCAACAATCCTTCGCATTGCGAAAACGGCCCTACGTAGCTCAGGAGTCTCGGAGGCCTTGAGCCAAAACCGGACGCCAAACCCTGAATCCTGAACTAAAGCCTAGAGCCTACAGCCTCTCATACACATTCGGGAAGTCCCCTGACTTAAGAGGTTTTGGGAGTCTCATGTCCCCTCACTGGCATTAGCCAGATTTGGGTTTAGGGCTTGGGCCAAACAAAAGTTCTTGAACCTTAAAAGTGAAACTTAAAAACCCTAAACACAAAAACCCTGAACCCCTAAACCCTTAACCCCTAAACCCATGCATCCCTAGCCTATACCCTGTAGCCTAAACCCCTAAACCGCTCAACCCCCTAAACCCAAACCCTGAACCTTAAATTAAAACAGCGAAGGAAAATTCCGCCTCCCCCCAGCGCTGGCTTGCTCGTAGATGCTTACGTGGTCCGCCGGAGCCTCCAACTACTGTTTAGGGCTTAGGGTTGAATGTTTAGGGTTTGGGATTTACCCTAAACCCTAAACCCTCGGTTAGGGCTCAAAGTTTGGGGCTTAGGGTTTCGAGCCGGACAACCCCATTAATTCTCACAGAGTTTTGAGGCTTCGTGCTGTGACGGTGTTAGGGAACCGCAAGACGTCGTATGTTTCGGGTTTACTACTATAGGGGCCTTAATAATCAGAATAGGGTTTTGGCGTATATTATATAACTATAATGAGGAACGCAAAAACCCTATTCAAATTATTAAGGCCCCTAAATTTATATTAAGGTCAATTCGTGGAGTTCCGTGGTGCTGTTGGAGGAGTTCCTTCTAGTTCGCGTGGAGGCAATCAGGCTTGGTTTAGGGTTTCGGGTTTAGGGCAATGAACGTTCAAGTTTATTGTCTCCGAAGTATTTGGGGCTCAAAATCCTGATAACCTTAAGCAGTAAAGCCTAAACGAAACCGGAAGGGTTTAATGTGGGAACCTGATTAAGAAACCCTGGGCCTAGAACCCCAAAATAGTAGGATTCATATAAGGAACCCCAATAAAGGCCCAAGGTTTCTTAATCAGCTTCCTACATTAGCGGTTTTCGGGCTGGTTTCGGCTTTCGGGGCTCCGCGTGCACTGATGAGGCGTTGCGGCTGCAGGGATCCGAGGGTGGGTTGTAATCTTTTGCGCTACCGTCTTAAACCCCAACTCCGGTGTTCAGGGTTTGGGATTTTTTAGTTGTGCTATGTTCTTTACATAGTCTGATCACATCCGACACATGGTTTCAGAGGTTCTCGAACCCTTAACCCCTAAACCCTCAAACCCCTAAACCCCTAAATCCCTAAACCCTCACCCCAAACCCTGAAACATTGCGGGTTAGGAAGCCTCTTTGGCTCGCCCACGACCTAGCGCTTGGTGCTCGCCAGTCGTGCCAAAACCAGGAGACATGTGATGTCGGGCTTCACGGTTTAGCGGTTTAGGCTTCTGGGAGTTTAGGCTTTAGGCTGTAGGCTCCGGGGTTTAGGTTTTAGGCTTCAGGATTCAGCTCCGAAGACACGCCACCACCTTCGGTCCTAGCACATTCTACAAACGAGGGTTCGGGAAGCCATATTACCCAACATCTTGGTCCCCTGAACCCTAAACCCTAAACCCCCTGCCTGGTCTTTGCTGAACACCTTCCAGCCGTTGTCAAACCCAGGCAGTTTTGTCAGAGCTTCCGGCCACTGGCTTCGGTTCCTCGGCGCGAAGTAAGCCCGCCGACCCTTTTGGGGGTTTACGGTTTAGGGTTTAGGGTTTAAGGGTTTAGGGTTTAGGGGTTTAGGGCTTAGGGGTCCGCCGAGCTTTTTGGTGGTTTAGGGTTTCGGGCTTGGGGCTTCGGGTGTAGGGTTTAGCTGCATGACTGAAACTTATAGACAGACCCCTAAACAATGGTAATACAGTGATACCACTCCAGTGAGACGCGAGGAACAGAAATTGCAGGAGCTTGGCTGATTGGAGCATCTTTGTTCTCGAGATTCCATTCAACTAGCTGCTGGTCAATGTATTAGCAGACGTGCGGCGCACAAGCGGGACTGCAAGCAAACTTTAAGCAGGGCTTAGTAGCTGGTCTTGGGGTTTCGGTCCCACGCTGACTGCCTAGCCCTTGAAAATACCCTCAAGCGCTAAAGCCCCTCAGCCCTAAACCCAAAGCCCACCAGAACCCCTCAACCCCAAAAGCCCCGAGCCTCCAAAAAGCCTCAAGCCCTGAAGCAGAGAATCCCTAAACCCTAAACCCGAAAGCCCTACCAAACTGCTGAAACCCTAGACAACAAAGCCGGAGCCCTAGATCCTGAACCCAACAGCCCTAAAGCCTAAACCCTGAACCAAGAGCAAAGCACGGCCAAGGGTCCAAAAGCCACATTTGGTCCGAATGCTTCGCAACATCTGACAGGCACCGAGCGCTGAGATGCTACAAAAGGGTCCCAAAATGAGTTCCTTTACGGAGTTTCTCATGGGCTTAAGGACCCTTCCGCTCGGTTCAGGGTTTAAGGGGGACTCTTTAAAGGAACCCTGAGAGGACCCCGGGTACTATAGAGTTCTACGCAGGGGTAAAGGCCTATAAGGGTACTTCAGGGGTCACCAGACGGGTTTCTGCAAGGTTTGAGGGTTTAGGGGTCATGCTAGGAGAGCCGGGCGTTAGATCAGGTTGACTCACGGGCTTAGTCGTTGTATGGTCCACTGTTTGGGATTTTGGGTTTTGGGCCTCTACATTTGTTTGTGCTTACGGCTGTAGGCGCTGTTTGGAGCTTAAGGTTCAACGATTAGGGGTGTAGGGCATAGGGCTCAGGGCTTAGTGCAGCACGCTCGCCGACTGGCGCAAGAATCTGCAGAATCCTCCTCCCCGCCCCAGTGCAGTTTTCTTCACCCGAAGTTCCTGCCTGAATGTCGCTGTTTCCATCGGCGAATACCGGTCGACCGGTAATCAGCTCGGCAATGATGCAGCCCATACTCCTTAACACTACTGGGATAAGGGCATTATGTTCCGACATTGGGTTTGTGTTTCGAAATTCAGAAAACCCCGTGAGTCGTTGTACAGATTTCAGAAGTGGGCCGCCACACAATGAACCTTGCTACTCAGGGTTTAGCCAACCTCGTACCTGTTTGCAGGGCAGGAATGGTAGGACTTGTCCTGATCTGTACCAGGTCGCCTTCTTCTCCATCCATTTAGGATGGTTTTTCTCGGGCTGTGCTCATACAGTCTGTGATGAGGGAGTCAAGGTAAGAAAAGTAAGATATGCTGTCGACTCGATGTGAGCCAGGGCTTGACGATGACGATGGTGATGGTAATGGTGATGACGACCATGACGACGATGACGAAGATGACGAAGATGAAGATGAAACAGGAAGAAGAAGATGATGATGCTGATGATGTAGACGTGTTCGTCATCGTGACGGTGACCATACAGCTAGGCGAAGGAGGACGGGAAGGAGGAGGATGAAGATGCTGTGGCAGATGCTGGTAGCTCTGAAGGAGAGGAAAAGCAGGAGGAACTTCTCAGCCAGGTGTCCAAATGTCGACGCTGGGGTCGTACTTGTCGCAGTTTAAATGCAACTCCGGCGGACGGTACCTCACAGAAGCCGGCAATGGCTACACGATGCGGAGAGCACAGATGTCTGAGTCCAGCATGCAGGATGAAGAAGTGTCTAGGATGCGCCAAACCCTAAACGGTAGTCTGGCGCTTCGGCCGCAAAGAAGAAACTCCCAGAGGTTCAATAAGAGCCCTTAAACAACCCCTATGCATTTTACATCGAACCCTTGTAAAGAGCCTTTAAGCGCGCTTTGAAAGCCCAAGACCCATTCAAGGGCCGTCCCGATGCTTGTCAGAAAGCTGTGTTCTGGTGCTGGGGAGGTTGCACGAGTGAGGAATTTCATGGGGTCTGAATCCGGCTTTGTAGGGGTTTCTAGTCGGTCGTTAGCGGTCTTTAGGATGTCCATGGGCTTTTATAATGATTTAAGCAAGGATTTTATCAAGGTTCAATGCTTTCACAGGGTTTAGTAAGAGTTTAAGGGCAGGGCTGACAGCTTAGGAAGGTACATAAACCGAGCCCTAAACCCAAAGCGGCGGTTTGGGGTTTGGGAGAGATGGCGTTGCGATGATCGTGATCACAGGGTCATGATGGAAGCTTTAAACACGTTTCTATGGTTCGATGGTGGTAAATCGCCGCAAGGACGATGACGATGATTATCATCAATGTGATCATGGGCGCCCTTCCCTCTGCGACTAAGTCGACCTCTTTGCTGCTAATCGTACTACGTGGTGCCACCTTTACATCTTAATTTGCCGCCCTGCGGCCACTAGTTCCTTCATACACTTTTTATGAAAGGTTTCCTGAAAGGGTGTCTTTAAGGCTTTTTTTGCCGCCCGGCGGCCACAGCGTGATGACCCTGTAGGTGTAGGGCCCGGGGTCCACGTTGTGGAAAGTCCGGGAGAGGCCGAAGTCGCAGAGCTTCACGATGCCCTCTTGCGTAAGGAGGATGTTGGAGGGCTTCCTGACAGCTCGAAGGGCAATCCGGGGTTTCGGTTTAGGGGCTTAGGGTTTAGGGTTTAGGGCTTAGGGTTTAGGGTTTAGGGTTTATAGGGAACCATGGCATACCGATGAAACATACTGCTTCTGGTGTCGCGCTTCGGGCTCATAATATCAGCTCACACTGTACTTTATGACCAAATACCCCTGGCGCGACAGCATCACTTGGTGGCTGGCATTCATGCTACCAGGAGTCCTAAACCCTAAACCCCTAAACCCTAAACCCCTAAGCCCTAAACCTAAACCCTAAACCCCTGAACCCTAAACCCTAAACCGCTAAACCCCTAATTCCTAAACCCCTAAACCCTAAACCCTAAAACCCCTAAAACCTCTAAACCCTGGCTACCAGGAGTGGGCACACTGAGAGCGGTTACATTGGCGGCCCTCACCACCATGGTCGTTACCAAATATTACAAATACGGTTGATAATAAAAAAATCCTGCGTTACCCATTATAAGGAATATACCATAACTCCCATAGTCTAGGGTCATTGAGGTAATGCAAGATTTATATCATCAACAGTATTACTAACTCAAACTACGCTTGTGACAGTTCTTAGCACAACTACCAGTATCACGATTCCTTGTAGTACTACCACTATTACTCGTCGTACTATTATTAGTACTCCTTACGCATACCACTATTATCAACGTCATCGTCATCATGGTCACTGTAAACAGCCGAGCAACAAGTCCCGGTGCATGATGCCTTGCTCGTGGCAGAACAGGAGCCCTCGGCACATCTGAATGCCCAGACACCTCGGTGTACGTTTTGCAGGCCTTAATGGGCCTTGATGATAACAATAATAATGAGCACAATCACAACACTAACAATGGGGTAGGCATATGTGGCCCAGACACCTCGGTGTCCATTTCGCAGGCCTTTTTGATAGCAATATCAGTGAACATAATCATAACAATAATGGAACAGGCATATGCGGCCCAATACTACAGACAAGTGTAATAAAGGAACCCTATCGAATCGTATTGGTAGCTGGTAGCTACTCCTACTCTGATACTCTAGTACAGTGGCAACCCCTGCCTCGAGGATGAAAGGAGTTGGGAACTCCCCAAAAGAACCCACTACCCCTCAATTAAGGAATATACCTTCAACTATAGGGGGCCTTAATATATTATGACTTAAGGTATATTCCTTAATTAAGGAATATACCTTAAATTATACGGGGCCTTAATCTTATGATTTAAGGTATATTCCTTAATTAGGGAATATCCCTTAAATTAGAGAGTTGTTAAATTTTAGGGGCCCTAGTATTATGAGTTAAGGTGTATTCCTCAACTAGAGAATATACCTAAAATTCTAGGCGGCCTTAATCTTATGAGTTAAGGTATCTTCCTTAATTGGGGAATATACCTTAAATTAGAGTTGTTAAATTTTTCGGTGCCGAAATCTTATGAGTTAAGGTATACCTGTAGCTGAAAGGGCCTGCCTTTTTAGGGTTCCTTATTATGGTTTCTATATATAGTTCCTTGAAAAGGTAGGTCTTTTCGGCTACAGGTAGATCCCAGTCATGGGTGCTTCGTCATTGGGGTTTAAGGTATCTTCCTTAATGTAGGGAATATACCTTACTATCCCTAAACCCTAAACCCTAAACCCTAAACCCTAAACCCTAAATTTAAGGTATCGCCCCTCAATTCAGGTGTTTTTTGGGCTCTCTGGGTCGGGCTCGGAGCAGGTTGGCCTTGGGGGAGTTTGAAGGCTTTCAGGTTTTCAGGCTTACGGCAACTATAGAGCCTTATAGATCCCTTATAGTAACCCTTATAGAGCCCTTATAGATCCCTTATAGAGCCCTTATAGATCCCTTATAGTAACCCTTATAGTATCCCTTATAAATGGGAGTCTCCGAATATAGGGGGTACCTTATTCTGGGTCCTTATAGTAAGGGTCCTACTATTTTGGGTATACAGAACCCTTAAAGTAACCCTTAAAGCACCCTTGAAGGAACCCCCAGTTGGATACATGGACCCTTAGGGTTTTTTTTTTTGTCTGAGCTCCTTTTCTCCAGTGCCCCGAAAGGATTCAGGGTTTAGGGGTTAGGAGGGTCTAGTGTTTAAGGTGCATGTAGGGTTCAGCGTCCAAGGCGTAAGGTCCGGGATTTAAGGGTTTCGGTGTCAGGTTTAGGATTTAAGTCCTTTTTGAAAGCTCTTTTCCGCCAGGGCTTAGGATTTCGGGTTTCGGTTTTGGGGTCCAGGGCCCAGGGTCCAGCTCCCCAGCCCGTGTCGAAAGAGAAGGCCTCAAGTCCCAATACGAACTCCCTCACCACAGGGCCTCTTAAGGCAGGAGAGGGTTTAGGGTTTAGGGTAGTATAGGGGCCTTACAGACTATAGGACAGGGTTGTGGGGGATGTCATAGAAATACAAACCGGAATCTCGAGAAGTCTCTTTTCATCAGTAAGGCCCCTGCATTATCTTGCTTAGGACCCGGGTATTCATGGATCCCACCTTTCGCCGAGGTCTACATCATCCCAAAAGAAGCAGCTCAGAAACCCATTGAACATCACAGTCGACATGCCTCCTGTCTTGATAGCCAAGGAGCCTGACTTCCTGCCTCAGAGTCAAGGTGCGGGGATCTCTTGCCCTACACTGCAGATGAGGGAGAAGGTCCGACCGACGGCTTAGGGCCCCAAACCTTAATCTCACTTCCTTCCTGTACTAATGTAATTGCAATATCAGATACCCCGAAACATCCTAAACCCAACGGCCACCAGAAACCATGAGGTTGAGGGTTCAGGGTTTGGGTTTTTTGGTGATTGAATTTTGAACTCGATGGCTCTGTTGGTTCAAACGGTTTCAATAGGTCGGGCGCATCCTTGAGTTTCGTGCCAAATGACATTCCGACTTAGTGTTTCTCGAGAGATTCCTCATCACTGCAGCACACGTGGCTGGGCAGCAAGCTACCGGCATTAGAGTGTACAGTGCACTTCAAGGCGTTAGAGAGAAGTTTACGGAGTAGGTCCCGTTTAGTTGGATCAAGTAAAGATACCCTTCAACACAACTGATTCCATGAAGAGCCTGTCACAGGAAGTGCTTCAAAGGCACAGAAGCAGCTTCCTGCCGCGGTAATGAACATAACCTGCCACGAGAGCACAGGGATGGACAGGTTAATATAGGTTTTGAGGTAGGGTATGCCACAGATACAGGAGGGAATCTAAAGAATAGTGTTGCAGTATTGTAAGCATGCAGACCCTTACATTGGTTCTCCAACCAGGTTGAAGAGATTAATGTGAGGAACGGATAAGAGCGTTGGGTAAGATCCGTGTGTTCTGGAATCTGGTTTCTCGGGTGCTGCAACGCAAAAGAACTGCAGGTGTACTTGGCGGTTCATGGGTAGTTATAATGGGGCTATCTGTGTGGTACCTACAATAACTGCCTAGACCCTAAACCTGAACCCTATAGGACCCTTAAAGGAACCCTACCTATAACTTACAACCCCACTTCCAACTACCCACGAACCTCCAAGCGGGTTCAGCAACGGCAAAGCTAGCTAGCCATGGGTCTATCAGCTTACAGCAGCCTTGGTCGATGCCCAAGCAAACCCTCAAGAGACCGAAAGCAGCTAGGGTTTAGGGTTTAGGGTTTAACCGGTACGTTGCTCCATCAGGTTTGAATAGGGGTTCGTGGATGTGGAGTGCTATGTGTGGATTTTAGGATCCCTGTTTGGGGCTTAGGATCTTTCGGGCGGTTAAAGCTTCCTGTCTAACCCTAAAGCCCCAAAACCCTAAACCCTAAACCTGTAACTCTAAAGGCCCAGAACCACAGAAACCCTCGACCCTAAACTCCTCTGGAACCTTACTTGCAGGTGCATGGGTACTTATAAGTAGGGTTATAAGTCCCCTAAAAGGAGTTATAACTATAGCTACCCTACTTATAACCCCACTTATCACTACCCATGAACCTCCAAGTATACCCTAAACCCTAAACCCTTATAGAATCCCTATAGATCCCTTTACAGGGACCCTTAAAAAGAGAGAGCGGTCGACTGTGGGGCCTGGGTTTGGTTTCAGTGCTTTTTATCGGGTTTCAACGTTAATGGCTCCAAAGCAGAAGCTTGTGTTTTGTGTCGCGTAAAGCACATACCACAAAGCAAGCATCACAAGTGTTTTTCGGAACAGCTTATTGGAGCTGTGCAAAATCGCTCTCCAACAGGCTCCACACCAGTGTGTAGGTCGAGCCTCTTAATCTGGGTTGATGTGTAGCAGATCTTACAAGCAGAAAAACGCTGTAAATATCGATGAATTCAAGACTCTCTAAAGAACGTCTTAAGGTAGGCTACATAAGCTCGACAGTTTCTCTATGCAGCTCTGATAATCGGGCCTTTAAGACTCTGGACTGTCTACCCAAAGCAAGCTTAGCCAACACCGCTGTTGGAAACAGTGTTTGAAACACCAATGTAGAGATTCAGCCTAATTAGCTGTCGAATTGCATTGGCATAGGGTTAACGAAATGTGGATGCACATAAGGGCCCTTGTTTTCGCGCGGTGAAGCAAAGTAAAGATGTGAGTGGGTTCAGCCTATGTACCTGTATAAAAGACTACCGAAGACAAACTGTAATCGATGAAAATCTGGCTGCTGTCCTAGACTGGAATCCTACTTGTGTTGATGCTTATCCGATTCTGGCTTCTTCCGATACCCTTGTTCATAAGGTACCCCGTACCCCTTCGAAATAGCCAGTATTTGGATCAAAATCATTTGGATTAGTGAAAAATGCTGCACTGGATACCGGGTCGGTTCCAAGCCATAACGGATCGTCCTCCTACAGTCCCTCAAACCGGTTTGGTCCAGGCCGTAGCACGCTCTCCATCCCTACACATAGCCTTACAAGAGATTTTGTATAGTTGAAATACTGAACACAAACATCTTGTGGTTTCACTCGATGAGCCTGGACGTATCAGCCGCACGCTGCTGCAGTGCGTTTATCTCTTTATACACAAAAGAGAAACACACGGGCCCGATTTCTGTTGCACCTAAACGACCCACATGTTTACAAACAAACAACCCGCAAGTTTATAACCAAGGCCCGGTATTTATAAACAACCCTTGAAAGTGTTCATAGAAGGACCAGCAGAAATCACCGCAAATACCAGTGTTTATTGATTTCAATTTATCCAACCAGGTCTTGGGATATCTCACATTAACTCCACACTTTCCTCCATTAAGAAAAAGTTTTGTGACCAGCACTTAAGACTTGAGGGTTGGCGTCAATTGGGAATGGCGGCGCGCGTCTCGGGCGGATGGTGGATTGGTCGGCGGTTGTACCTTGTGGTGAACGTGCTGGTGGTGAGGGGGGAGGGGGGGGTGGCAGGTGTTGGACGTTGGCCGCATCATACCAAGACCTCTGGCGCCCCCCCCCCCACCTCGAGCGAAGCGTTTGTTTATAAACAGCGCCTGTGTTTATAAACAGCGGCCGTGTTTATAAACACAGTAAAGGAAAACTAAAACAAGTTTAACAACCCAACACATCACGATAAGAATTCATGACAAGAATCCTTGACAAGGCGATACAGACATCAATCAATTCAACAAAAGATGCGTGAACAGAAGGTTAAGAGCAGCAAGTAAGCATCACGAGCCCGATCCAAAGGCCTACGTAACTTCAAAAACTCCTACTCCTTATACACAAACGCAGGCCCCAGGATCGACCCTTGTGTAAAAGGAACCCTTAGAACTACCCACGAACCTCCAAGTAAACGTTGGGGTGTCGGGTTCCGAAACTCACGAGCCGGGGTCCGGATCCAGGTTCCCAAAACCCCCCGCAAGTCTCAGACCTACTTGGGTGGTTGTTAAAATTATGGTCCCTTTTTGGGTCCTTATTATAGTACGGCAGCTATTATTCAGGGTACCCAAAAGGGACCCTAATTTTGACAAGTACCAACTTCAAGGCTCGGGGTTCTGGCTTTGGGTGTAGGGATGGAGGAGGGTTTCGGTCGGAAGAAAGCTCAAGGATTGCTGGCTACGGTTGCAATCTGCCTCAATTTGGGTTAAAAATAGCTATAAGTGCGTATAACAGCAGTCATGCTTGGGAACCTTAGTTCCTGAGGCCCATGACTGTTGGAGGTAAGTGAACCACCACAGCACCCGAGAGAAGCTCGCAGAAGCGACTTGCTCTTGAGATGGACATGCGAAACTGTCAAAGTCATGATCCCTTTGGAGAACCCTATATTATAGTTCTATTTGGGAGTTTCCGAAAATTGAGGGTACCTTATTTTGGGGTCCTTATAATAAGGATCCTACTATTGAGGGGACTATATTAGGGTCCCCTATTTTCGGAAACTCCCATTTCTGATACCCGAAGGGAAGACCTGCCTGTGAGATCGTGATGCACATACCTCAGAGGGCTCAGGGCTTTGGATTCAGGCCTGCCTGTAGCCGAAAAGACCTACTTTTTTAGGGTTTCTATATATAGTTCAATAAAAAGGTAGGTCTTTTCGGGTACAGGTGAGGGTTTAGGATTGGGGCTTGGGGCTTAGAGGTGAGGCTTTCGGGCCTGTGTTAAACCTTAAATCCTAGTCCCTAAACACCCTAAACCCCGACCTTTATCAACGCAAAACCCTTCGGGCGACCCGCCTGAAGACAGGGCGTGAGCCCAGACAAGCGTTGAATCAAACCGTGACAAAGCTACACCTCCAACATCTAATCGTGCTGCCTTTTACACCCCGGGTTAGCCAAGCCAACACCAGACTTCCAACATCTACTGAGAAAGACAAAGACTGCAGCCTCCCTGAATATGCCATTTCTACCAATCTTGGGTTTAGGTTAGGAGCGGCCCCCACCCTGTAATAGTGACCATAAGGATTATATTAATAATATATTAGGGCCCTATTATATTCCTACAGGGTGGGGGCAGCTTCTAAGGTTTAGGGTTCAAGGTTTGGGGATCTAAGGTTCAGGGTTTAGGGTTTAGCGGCGTAGGGAGCGCTCTAAAAGCCCCCAGGATAGACTCATGCCAGACTGCTCGAAGACGAGGTAGGTGTCGCCCACCAAAGAACCAGCAGGCTTTTCAGTCCAGATATCCAGGAGCCGAACGACCTCTGAGTGTTCAGTTTGTCTTCAAGGTCTCGTGACAGGGGTCGGGTTGAAGAAGATAGCTGTGATTCCATGACTGTCATTCGTAGCACTTGTTTAGTTTGACCAACCAATTGAAACCAGCACAACCCGCTTGCTTAGGGTTGAGGGTTTAGGGTTTAGGGTTCGCAGTCGGCTCCAATTTGCTGCTGCTAGTCGCTGCGGGTCGTAGATAGCACTACGGTTTCTTCAAGCTCTCGTGCTGCAGACGCTTGTTGTCGGCGCAGTGCGCACGATGAGTTTCAATCTATCACGCTAACTATCCAGAGCCATCATTCGGGTTCTTACAGATTTCATTAGGGTTCTTACAGAATACACTTCCTGACATGCTGGCCAGCCGTGCTACTCTCGCTACAGCCGGCTTAATGTCTCGCATTTAGTCTGTGTAGGGCTTCTTGGCATTCTTTCTTTTTACTTGCCGCTCTGCAAAACTACTCCGGACAAGCATCAAGGTCGATGACCACTCTGTCGGCACATCCGTTCGTAGTCTGTGCGTGTAAACAGCAGTTACGGCTAGCCTCATGATTCTAATGGCCTCTGCTTGTAACTAGCATGCAAATGCTGCGCCCGAAGCGCCGGAGCGTGCTTCAAGGCAGAGGAGGGCCCTGTAGAGTAAAACGACTAAGTACAGAAACCCTGAAACCTAAGTTGCTGAAGCACGTAAGCGTTCAGTCCTTTTTCCTGCCCAAATGAGCCCGAACCCCTGATTTCTGTGGGCCGGGAGGGTTTTTTGAAGGGTGTCAGGCTTCTGGCCCGGCTATGGATCCAGGGGTGTAGATCTCAAAATTTGGAGAAGAACTGTTGATGCAGTCCTTCGGGCATTGCGCTCTCTGGGAACTAAGGTCTTCAAGGTTCGGCGCAGAACAGCGCATCTACACGGTTTAGTGTTTAGGCTTGCGGCAGGATCGAAGCATGGAAAGAAGACTGAAGCAAAGTCGGCGGAAGCGGCCGTCACAAATATTGAAGTCGAAGCGTGCAACTGCCAACTGTTGGTATAGCAAACACACCAATCTATGGGTAGTTGTCAAAATTATGGTCCCTTTTTGGGGTACCCTAAATAATAGGTGCCTTATTATAATAGGGACCCAAAAAGGGACCCTAACTTTGACAACCATCCATATAATCCCCAATAATAGTATAGTAGTCCCTTATAAGGGTCCCTTTATGGTAATCCCTAAGATCCCTAGGGACCCAAAAAGGGACCCTAACTTTGACAACCATCCATGATCCCTTATAGATCCCTGATAGTAACCCTTATAGTATCCCTTATAGATCCCTTATAGAGCCCTTATAGTCACCCTTTTCGTATCCCTTATAGATCCCTTATAGTAACCCTTATAGAGCCCTTATAGAACCCTATCGAAATTGAGGGCTTGAGGCCTCGGGCTGAAGCCCTGAACGACCGGAGGGCCAATCCCCTAGGGTTTAGGGTTTAGGGTTTAGGGTTTAGGGTTTAGGGTTTGGGGTTGAGGGTTTAGGGTTTAGGGTTTAGGGTTTAGGGTGTCATGGGGAACTAAAGGTTAACCTTTTTGGTTCTATAGGGCTTATGTAAGGACTATACTACCCAAAAAAGGTTAAAGGTTGCCTACTCTACTAGTAGGATCCTCTTGCAGCAAGCAGCGTTCTTCTCCAGTCCGGGCCCTTTGGTTTTCTTCTCCTCTTCCTCAGCAGCTTTCAGCTTTTGGGTGTAGTATAGAAGGGGATTTCAGGCTCAGGGGTTCAGGGGTGTGATTCTGATAATGACGACAACGGCGAGGACGACACCCTAAACCCCCAACCCCTGCTCCCTAAACCGGCGGAGGACGAAGAGAGCGGGAGGACGACGAGGAGGACTGACAAAGGTTATTGTCATTGTCGCTGGTATGATCTTCAATGTCATGACTTAGGGTTTAGGATTTGCTGTTCTTGCGATGGTCTTCTAGGGCTTGAAGTTTAGCGTTTGTGCTGCGACTACCGACATTTACTGGAGGGTGTTAATTAGTTTCATCAAAACGGATCTTATTGCTATACATAAGGTTGCCACTGCGAAAAATCAAGCCACTGATGATAACGTTTGCCACAATCGTCCTCACCACCCTTGTCGGGATTCGAGCGGGAGTTCTAAACCCTGGTAATCTCCGACAGGATTGAAACCCTGAACGTTCGACCGGTATAAACCCTGAAAGAAGCCCACTACACCAGTACCAGTTCAACAGTACGGGCGGAGAGGCAGGGGAGGGAGGGGAGAAGGGGCGGGAGGGGCGGTGCCAGATGCACTCGCTGGATGCGAAGACAACGCTACAAATCCGATAGCAGGAACCCTTAAATCCAAGGGTAAAAGGAGGGACCCTTAATAAGGACCCCCCTAGGTATATACCCTTGATATAGCTATTATATACCCGTTGTATAGCCCATTATAGGGTAGGAGTCCCCAGTAAGGATCCCTCCTTTTCCCCTTTGATTACAGGAACCCTCAATCCTCGGCCGAGTCTCGAGGGCGTCGCTCATCCGGCGGAGAGCGCGGATCTCTCGCACGCACGTAGTGGGCAAACCTTCCTTCTCGAAGCGAAGGTCAACCTGTTTAAAGTTTGAGGTTTAGGGGTTGGGATTTTGGCAGGGGATATAGGGTTCAGGGATTAGAGTTTAAGGCTTGGCACTTGGTGTTTAAGATTCGAGGTTTAGGCTGTAGGGAATGGGGTGTTAGGCATGAGGTCCCCAAAAGGTTGTTGAAGGTCTCATAAGGTTCTTGTGGGGTTTTGCAAGGTTTAGGCGATTGAAAGGGTTTTCTGATGGTTCTTACAACCTTGTCTATGGGGATCTGACAGACTTTATGGGCTTGCTTTAAATCTTTAAACGCTGCTCATGTGAATGATTTCGGGGTTCTTATAAGGAGTTTTTGTCGGATATTATGGGGCTGGATTCGTGCATTTTCGTACTCTTACAGGATTTATACTTGCTCTTACACCATCTTGTGAAAGTCAAGAAGTGACAAAGATTTCTAGAAAAGGATGATCCAACAAGGATTAGGATTTAAGCTGTGGGGTTTCCAAAGGGGTTCAGCAAGGAGTCTCCCTGATCAAGATCGGCCCTACACCCTCAACCCCGATTCCTAAACCCAAAACCCGAAACCCTAACATATAAGTGTCAGGATTAAGACCTTCGAGCCTTTGGGGCTGCAGATTGAAGCTAAGGGTTTGGGGCTTTGGGGAGCTGGGCTACAGAATCTAGGGTTTCGGGCGCTTCGTGCGTTTCGCTAAGGCGTGGGGTTTTAGGCTGCAGCCCCTTTTGCGGCTAGTTGTTGTAAATGCCTTGATTGTCTCGATGTTGAAAATGGGATATGCTTCGTCCATTCCACATTTGCGACATGCTCTTAGCTGCTGGTACACATATACTCCTACCTGTCGGGTATCATGGGGAACTAAAGGTTAACCTTTTTGGTTATATAGGGGTTAAAAAGGGACTATGCTACCCAAAAAAGGTTAGAGGTTACCTACTCGACTACTAGGCATACTCTTCGATGCTAGTACACATATGGATGGTTGTCAAAATTAGGGCGCTCAAAAAAGGACCATAATTTTGACAACCACCCATATATCTTTTCGGGGATACTCGACCCTCCCTGCACCTTCTTCATTGCGACAGGCTCCTTCGTCTCAAGGCATTGGCCCTGGCAAAGAACACTGCTGCTCTTTTGGATCTCTTGGGTGTGGGGGAGGGAAGAAGGACTGCCACCCGCGCTAGCAGAAGAAGATTTCAGAAGGCATCTCAAGCTTGCGATCGCACGTCTAAACGAAGCCCCCTAGACGTTACATAACAAACCCTAAAAATCTAAACCCTAAACCCAATCAAAACTCAATCCTTGGATTTGAGACCCTGCCTTCCAAACCGTTCCGTAGGTTCCTTTTCCCACGGGATCGCCCTCCATGACATAGGTGTGCGGCCTTAGAGCTGCAATTTTAGATTTCAGGGCTCAGGGCTTTGGGGGGTTAGGGTCTAGGGTCCAGGGCATAGGATCCAAGACTGGTTTAGGGTTTAGGGTTTAGGTTTGGGTCCTGCGTTTCCGAGAACCCTGACACAAACCAATCCTGAACCCTGATTACTATTCTAAACCCGAAACCCGAAACTCCCGGATTGAGGGTGTCGACTTTGGGGGGGGTGTCTCAGTGATCGGATACCCGAAACCCTACGAGCTATGCGCCAGTTGCTTTGGCCCTGCCCCAGACGAATCCGACGTGAAGCCTTGCAGTATTGAGGCTTGTGTGACTAGAATAAGATGTTGGGGTACATATACTCAATGATTTCGATGACTGCAATACAAGGGAACACCATTAAAAATGACTCAAACTCCTATCTTAAACATAGACAGGAAGACATTTTTCAACAGATGGACTAACCTTGCTGTTGTATCGGAGGAAACTACACAACGGAAGTCTGCTTCCGAACCTGCTCGCTAAAGCTCTGCGTCCCATGGGCTGAGGATGAATTATGTCTTGTGTGGATGGATGTGTTAAATATATATATATATATATATATATATACTGTATACATATGTATATATATATACACTTTATTTATGTACCTACCTATCAACCTGCCTACCTCTATATTCTACCTGTCCGTCTCTCTATCTAGCTGTCGGCCTACCCATCTATCTGTCTACCTAGCTATCTACCTTTTTATCCACTTTCTACCTAACATTTCCTATTTGCCTACCATTTGTATCTGCCTATCTGTCTAACTACTCATCTATCTACCTATCTCTCTGACCATCCAGCTGTCCGTACGTACATGCATAGATGTGTATGTGTGGTGTCTGCGTGGTGTCTGTATATATATATATATATATATATGCACATACACACACAAGCACTCCTATAGATATACAGGTAGAGAGAGGGAGAGAGAGAGAGACATAGAGTCCTTCCATGCATGCATCTGTGCAGTCAGAGAGCGTTATCGCGGCATACTTTCTCATCTCACTGCTCCTTCTGCCGGGGGCTGTCAGCACTCAGAGCTTGGGTGGCGGTCTTCAAGGGAAAGGGTTTGGGGCGTTTAGGGTTTAGGATTTGGGGTCTAGGCTGGGGGGGGGTAAGGCTTCAGGAAGTTGAGGTTTAGAGTTTCAGGCTACAGGTTGGAAGGATAGAAAGGGCCGTTTAGGTACTTAATTGGGTTACACAACTTGTCAGCTTTTCTGAACCTACTCCCTCGGGCTTTTCGGACCTGGTGTTCCCAAGCCCCAAAAACTGCCCCCAAAAGAAGAAGCCCCTGACCTCAAATGGGTGGTTGTGAAAGTTACGGTCCCTTTTTGGGTCCCTAATATAATACGCGGAACCCCAAAAATTTTGGGTACCCAAAAAGGGACAATAATTTTGACAAACACCCAAATGAGTAAGACTGCCGAGCTCCTCTTGGACTCATCCTTGACAGGAGCAGTCATAGGCCAGCGTTTGGCCAAGTTCCATGGGGCCCAGCCACTCCCGTCACAGGAAGGCTAAGAGGTGCTGGCCGCGAGGGATGAGGCTTTCAGGCTTCCGGGCTCTCTGGCTTGGGATGCTAGGTTTTGGGTGTAGGGTGTGGGGTTTTAAGTGCTTTTTTTGCGGTGGTGTGTGCTTCTGGGTTTCTGGACTGAGGTCGCTGACTGTGCAACTTTTGGGTGGGGTCGGAGTTGACGTGCCGGCTTGCCAGACTGCTTGAGTTGCGGAAAGCCGCAACTTCTGGTGGCTTAGCACTTGACCTTCTGCGGCTGCTTGGCTTTGGGATGGAATCTCCTCCAGCTTAGCCTATCGACGCTTTGCTTGGCTCCGGCGGCTCAGGTGGGAGTGAGGCTTCCCTCACTGGGGCTCGAGTTGATACTTGATGCTTGGTCGCGAAGGGCGACTTGAGCCAGCGTTGTTGTCGTGGTGTAAGTCCGACTTTGGGGAGTTAAAAGGCCTGGGTTGGGGATTCAGGCTTGTTCTTAAGGGTTTTGCGGTGCAAGATCTTGCGGTCTTGTATATACTCTACTGTGTATGAAACAAGTCTAGACTAGGCGAGGCTAGACTTTTCTAGAATATAGTAATGCATCATGTAAAATTCCCTGAAAATACAATGCTACATTGTATTACATTGTGGTAGACTTTACTGTACTATGTATACTGTACTATATGATATCATAGTACGGTGTAATACATACTATACCATACTATGAAAATGTACCCTATATCGCATCCTGTCAAATACTGTACTAAACTTTACTATGTCACGTGTATCTTGTTCTAGTATGTTATGCAACAATATGTTACGTTACCCTATATTGTAGAATAAAGCCCCGGGTAGAATCTGGATTTGGCAGGGCCCTGCCTGATTAATTTTCGACGCACCCAAACAAGCTTCCAAGCTTGTCAATAACTCCGACAGAACCCTAAACCCTAAACCATTTGAGGGCTTCGGTTATAGGGTACTCGCTCTTCCGAGTGCGACACGGCCGGCGCATTGCTGGCGGCCCCCGACAGCACATGGCTCGGATCCCGGCAAGGTGTCTACTATACGGGCCTTAACAAGGTTTTTGGGCCCACTATACTATAATCATAATAAGGAACCCCAACATAGTATTGGTGATTGTTTAGGCCCCTGTATTACAAGCTGTCCGGCGGTGATCTCCTTACAGGCTACATCTCCTAAATCCTAGACCCTACATCCTGAAGCATGAAGCCTAACTCCTGAACCCTGCAACATAAATCCTGAATCCGAAACCCTAAACCCTGACACCCAAACACCCACAAGTCTTGGAACCTTCAGCCCTGAGATGCGACAACCCTCTGCAACCAGAGGTTGGTCTGACCTTCGTTATGGAGGACCGTTAAGGGTTCAGGGTTTAGGGTTTAGGGTTTAGGGTTTAAGGTTTAGGGTTTAGGGTTTAGGGTTTAGGGTTCGGGACCGGAGAGGTCGGTACAGTTTACACGCACACCCCCATGCTGTTTATCAAGGCCCCTATAGTAGGCTGGAGCGCTGGGGTCAATGGGTTTGGGCTTGAGGCTTGGGGCCTCGGGCATACGGCGACTCTGAGGCGCGGAATGTAATACCTGGGAATTCAACCAGTAGAGTTGGGTTCAAGGTTTATGTTGGGTGCAGGGATTTCTAATTGTGCTCGGAGCAGGGCCGCGTTGCGAAGATATATTTGCATTGTAGTCTTGAATAAAATGGCATGTTAGAGTATGCTATAGTATTTGCGTGTGTTGCAATCAACATCAAGCCGAAACGGCACATCTTGGAATGACAGGTCTGCAAGTACGTCTACACAGTCTACACAAAAATCTGACTCTCTGTCTCTGTGCGTCTATCTATATCTACATCCGACTCAATACGTCTATACGTATATCTGTACTTGTAGTTATTTCTGAATCTGTTTCTGTATGTCCATCTACAACCATACCTTTGTATGCACTATGTATATACATACATATGTATGTGTGTATGTGTATATATATATACATACCTAACTGTTTGTTCATCTGTATTTAAGTTTGTACCCACCGGCACACACGTCACCTGCATCACTTCTATATGTGACAAGCTGAACAGCATCTAGAGCAGACGTGTCCACAAGGCTTCTGGGTTAGCTGGGTGAACCCTAAACCCTAATCCCTCACAGAACCCTTTAAGAAGCTTTTTTTTTAAAGTGCAATGACCCCTTAGGGTTTAGGGTTTAGGGTCAAGGCCCCCTTTGAAGAAGCTTTCAGGAACCCTTTGAGGACTTCTTCAAGAACCCTGAATGGCCATGGTATCTCGGGCATCTCCAATGTTGCAGCGGAACCTGGTCCGCCCGGTTCATGCGGTGGACCTGTGGAAACCACCTGAGGAGTGGAATCGAGCTCGGGCTTTGGTGCGATCTGGCTTTCTGATTTCAGCCTTCAGGGCTTGGCTTCTTGATTGTCATCATGAAGCAAAAGCCAGAAAGTTGGAATATCATTATCCTAAACCCTTTATGGTAAATTATAAGGTATCCTACCCTGAAACCATGTTCCAACTTTCTGGAGTTCCCTTTAAGTATGAGAACTTCAGGCTGACTTCGTTGACTTCAGACTTCAAGTCCTAGACCCCCTCAATCAAACAATTAAGAACTCTCTCAAAAACTACAGCAAAGACAGCGCCGTTGCCCGAAAACCCTTTCAAGAAAACCCTGTACAACTCTGAAAACCCAATCGAGCCTGCACAAACCCTACGCCCTGAACACAAAACCCTAAACCCTAAACCCTAAACACAAAACCCAAAACTCCAAACGTTCAACTTCAGAGGAGGGCCCCAGGGCGGGGCCTTCTCTGGGGATTTGCTTGAGGGTTTACGGCTGTGGGGTTTGAGACTCAAAGTTTGGGGTGAAGGGTTTTGGCTTTAGGGATGTCGGGCTTGAGGACTTCGGGCTACCTTTTAGGGGATTCGAGTTCAGGGTTAGGGGTTTAGGGGCTTAGGGTTTTAGGGGTTTAGGGTTTAGGGTTTAGGGGTTTAGGGTTTAGGGCTCCATTAAGAGTTGGAGGAGGCAGGAGAACGGTGCCCGAAAGACTGCGGGCCAGCTGTGGCCTCAGCTGTCTTGCTTTTGAAGCTCCGGACTTCGGTTGGGAGTTTATAGTAGGGTAGTTGTCAAAATTAGTGTCTCTTTTTGGGTACCCTACATACTAGGTGCCGTATTATATTAGGGACCCAAAAAGGAACCCTAATTTTGACAACCACCCAGTAGGGTTTTGGGGTTTGGAGTTTAGGGTTTCGGGCGGTTTAGGTTTAATTAAGGTTTTGGGTTTAAGGCAGCTTGATCAGAAAAGGATGTCCGATGGCCTTCCCTGCTGTATACAAATCTGATGAACCTGTTGCAGGAAAGCCGTAAGCTTTGCAAAACCCCTTGTCACGACCACCAAAACAGGGAGCAGAATCAAAGCAACATTCCAGAGCCTCCAAAACCCCTTAATTAGGGAATATACATTAAATCATACAAGGGATCCTATTATAATTTAAGGTATATTCCTTAATTAAGGGGTTTTGGAGGCTCTGGGATTCTGTCTGTCACACTGCAGTATGTTAGAGCCTCCCGACCAAGCTCCTCAAAGCCTGCACTCCGAAACCCAACAGCCCTGAAATGCAAATCCTTAAAAACTGCGCCACTAGACCCCTCTAAAAAAGGGGCCTGAGTAAGTAGAATAGGGTTTTGGGGCCCATGATCCTATAGTTCTAATAAAGAACCCTTCAAGTTAGGCCCCCATATTATCCGCAGCCCTCGATCTTGGTCGGATGCTTCTCCACGTCCTTGGAGGTCTTCCTGTACTGGATCGACCGCTCCTCAAAGCAGATCCTACTTGGAGTTTCATGGGTAGTTATAGGTGGGGATATAAGTCCCCTAATGGGAGCTATAATTATAGCCACCCTACTTATAACCACTTAGAACTACCCATGAACCTCCAAGTACAGCTGCAGTAGCCTTCGAAGTGTCCTACATAAGGGGGTTTAGGTTTAGGGTTGGCGTAAGGGTGACATCGTTACAAGATTCTATAGGGGTCCTTCCAACCCGGATAACTATGGCCGGGCAGGATTGTTGCCACTGTCAGCCTCACGGCACTAGTACGGATAATGAGAGTTGTCGCACAGATATGGGTGGTTGTCAAACTTATGGCCCCTTTTTTGGGTACCCTAAATATTAGGTGCCGTGATACAATAAGGACCCAAAAAGGCGCCCTAATATTGACAACCACCCATATGAATACCAACCATCGCACTGGGCTCTATTGCACGGTACTCACACGGTCGTTGCAATGTGAATGGACTTCTTGCTGTTCCTACTACATGTTGACGCTGTAGCCGCGTCAACCCTACCCACGGACATCAACAGAATCAGACAAATCAGAAGGAACGACAATCAGGAAGAACAGCAGCAACAGCAGCAACAGCAGCAGTGGCGCCGTCTGGTACCATTCCCACCTATTCTTCGCACTGCCTTCAATTGGGGTGTCACCACTGTTTTCTTACGTGTAAGGAATAGAGCATGGCCTCGGATCAGCCCCTGTTCAGTGCCTAGCCAAATTAAGCCCCTCAACCCTAAACCCTAAACCCTAACCCTAAACCCTAAACCCTAAACCCTAAACCCTAAACCCTAAACCCGAATCCAAAACGGACAAACACGCCAGGGTTGCACATGGTCTGGTGGGTTCTTGTTGCGTTGGAGGGCCTCGAGGCCCTATCTGTCTGGTGTCTACAGGTTAGGATTTAGGGCTAGGGCTTGTTATGATAAACGAAGCTCTGCCTCAGAACTCAAAACTCCAAACAGCGACTACGAACGGCAATCACAACGCCGACACCACCACGACCACCACAGCAACAATGAAAACCAAGCTGAACGAAGATCACTTGAGCGTGATCAGTGATGGTAGCGGCAGCCTGAAAGCTTGTAATCCCAGCAGTTGTATCAGCAGCAGTAGC